GTCATAATGATAAAGAATTATGCAGTTAAAGTACTCTCTTACTCAAACCTCAATTCTTAGTCCTAACTCTTGACCATAATTGTACACCAGCTTTCAGCTGAAGAGGAATTGGGAAAAGACGTTCAAAATTGGATAGTATAAACATTACAGAAATTACCAAACTACATCACGAGGCAAGCACTAACTTGGAATCCTGAATGGAAACAGAAAAGAGGAAGGCTAAAGAACACACTACGTCAGGAATTGGAAGCAGATATCAAAAGGATGAATAACAACTAGAAACAACCGGCAAGGATTACTCAGGACAGGTTTGGATGGAAAAGGCCGATGGGCGGCCTATGCTTTTCGACGAATGGATAACAGGCGTAAGTAAGTAAGCAAGTCCTAATTCCTTGCCCTAATCCTTATAAATAAATAATCCAACACTATTTAATATCAAAACTTTCTATCCATTGTAATTTTATTATATTTTACAATAAATTATTTTATCTAACTTCAACTAATCCACGAAATTAAGCGACACATCCACCATTGTCTTCAGTGATTTACTATCTCACAACAGACTTGGTTGAACTCCACTGGTCACTACTTCTCACTAGAACTCCAGGATATAACTCTTGAAGCCAGTCACTAGTGACCAGTGGAGTTCAACCAGGTCTGTTGTGAGTAGTAACTCATCGAGGACAGTGGTAGATGTGTCGCTCAATTTCGTGGATTAGTTGAAGTTAGACATTAACACCGTTGGATGCCGGCTCAATGATCTAGTGGTTAAGTGCTCGCGCGCGAAATTATTTTATAATTAATTACTGTGTTTTGATTGGCTGATATACCACTGAAGGTCATCGGTACTGTAAAGTTTTCCTAGAATATGCAAAATAAAATAATTCAGTCCAATATGTTTTAGCATGAAATTCACTCCATACTTAATTCATACGACTTCATACCATTTATTAATCTTTGAATAAACCAATCTCATATGTATAACATTAAAACTGTTCCATTAATTATATAATACATATATTTATGAGTATGAATTAGTAATCTGGTCGTCTGTTAGGATAGTCGGAAAAAGAGACCAATAATTATCATGTTAATTTCAATGGTGTCCTTGGACTTTAAATGTCATTTCCTATTGGTCGATATTTGTTCACTTGTTGAATATTGTACAAAATGTTGTTTTCTATTTTATGGTACGATGTGGTATGCTTGGTTGGTATATAAACAAAGTATGTTTAAAATATAATGATTCATAACTCCGAGGCTGTGACTTTTGTTCTTGACTCAACTGGCTGGGGCTAGACAGCGAAGCAGGGCCAATCAGGGCACTAGGTCATCCTTACATGTTTACGTGTCCACTGTCACAGGAGCGATCGATAATAACGCTGCGTATCCAAACCCTGCAGTCACACATCACGTTACAACATCGTCTTATTTTAATAGGTAGCTCATTTCAAAGTAATCATTGCATATTATTCATTTAATCGTCTAAAACCGATCACAGACTTAAATCACTTATAATTCTTAATTCATATTTAGGATTTATAAAGATGTATTCCTTTCAAAGGTGGATATTGCTTTTGACTAGCGATTTGAACTTGTAATGTTATTTAACTATTTTAAACTTACACAACTTATTCTAGCTACTGTATAGGCCAATTTACTCATTCTTCTTGAGTCATATTTTGATCTTATTAATTATTCGTTTATCAACCTTGACTGTTTTTACATGAGTATGTAAGTATGTGCACTTCTTATCCTATTCATCACATGTCTGTAACTTATTTTCGTCTGGTTATAAATATCGATTTACTCTTGATTCAGTTGAGTTGGCTCACTTGTCCTCTCCAATCTGCTTTGCTCTCCCCTCTTCGTTTTTGTTTACTTACTTGCCTGTTCAAATCAATAATAAGTGCATGAAATCTACATATTCAAAATTCATTTTCGTAATTAACTCATTCAATTCCGCTATTCACTAACGCGGATTAAGTTGATGAGTATATACGTGGATTTGCGATATGTATATCTCAATAGCAATCAGAAACGATCAAACTGGAGACAGATATAGGGGCCACTAAAAACTCTTAACTGTAGAATCTTATGTGAATTTACTGACAATGATATCATTCATTTCATATATGACTGTAGTTTGTTGTCAAGAGTACAACTGTATGATGAACAGATCTTAATCTAAGTTAATAGTTTTGATGTCATCCGTTTGAATTACGTCACGATTTAAATCAGTTTACCTGTATTACGATTTTACATGGATTTATGATGCCAATTATTTTTAGTTATTCATTTTTTTACTTATTATTAATCAGTAGTATGATCACTTTAAGGATTTTGATGAAATAAAAAATTTTGTACCACCTGATGAAATGTTGCCAGTCGACTGAATTTTATTTTATAAAAAAAGATAGAATTATTTTTAGATTTAACAACGGTTCTTTCATCATAAATTACTGAGTGACCGATAAACTCACTTATATGGGTATTCAAAGGTAAAAGCTATCTGTTGATTTAACTAAGTTAATAAATTATATAAAGATTTGTCTGTCACTAGGCGGTAATCATGACAAATAAGAAGTTGTAAACAATTATTAAGGATTTAGAAGACTTAGTGATAACTTGCTCAGTTTGAAACCTGTTCTTAATGACATCGATTCCATAAGTAGTCGTGAATACTCAGCGTTAAACATTTCTACGAGCAAAACCCTTGTAATAATAATAATAATAATAATAATAATAATAATAATAATAATAATAATAATAATAATAATAATAATAATAATAATAATGTTAATTCTATCGAAGCGTCTAAGTAACCCCGATTGAGATACGCGCAAAATCGAAGTTCCAAAACAACAATTTGTCTACAAAAGCGATTCTTTATTAAATAATACACAAAATTTAGTTACAAACCTCAACTTGTGAGGTGTCTAGGCTTTTAAACGCGTCGTTCAAGAATGAAAATAGCAAAGGCTTCCTGTAAGAGTAACATGAAAAACGATTACAACATACGATAGTCCAAAGACAGCCGATAGCTGTGTCTAAATTTGGTAACAGTTTATGAACAACCGAAACTCGAACCAAGAGCAAACAATATGGAAACTGTTGCATTCAAACAAATGCACAAAACTGTGGATAATCGTTACAGTAATTAAATTACAGTGATTATAATGATAAATACAATTATAAGTAAAATAAACGTTAAAGATATAGTTGAACATTCCAGAATGTTACAGTACAACTTGAGTTACAACATAAGTGTGAAAATTGTTGGGCACACAGCTGCCTGCTGAATGTAAATAAGTAGTATAAAACAACATACAAGAGTAGAAAAGGAACATGTAGGGACAATGTAAGACAAACTTAACAAATAATAATAATAATAATAATAATAATAATAATAATAATAATAATAATAATAATAATAATAATAATAATAATCCTACATTCACTGGTGACTAACTCGTAGATCTGATTCCAAGGCTTCTAGTGAAAAGCCATGATTAGAAGAGTTCAGGTGTGTCAAATGTGAGACTTATTCACCTCAGTTAATACAAGATGTTTCGCCTCGGTAGTCTGGAGGTTAAGCGTTCGTGCTCGAGACCGATAGTCCTAGGTTTGGTTTTTAGTAGAGTCATGGATATGCTAGAATGTAATATTATCCATCAGTAATGGAAGCGTCAGTTGAAAGATTTCATTGATATATACAAGATCTGTTATTACTGAAGAGGCGAAAATGGTCAGGCTTGTTCCAATCAAATGATCATCTTCGTGAACAAAACAATATCAATTTCGTGGAGGCGGCACACAAAATTACGGAACTCCGTCGACTGACGAAAAACGCTATATATTCAGATTTCGTATTAGGAATAGTTCTTCATGAAGCATAAGGCCATCGGAAGACGTAATATCCTGGACTGGGAAATAAGGGACAGATAAAGGTGCTCCTTAAACCTGTCCGAAAATGGATATGAACGTATTCCTGTTTTTTCTTTAATTCATAACTGACTGATTTCATTTCATATATTTCTTTATTACCATTAATCTTTTTTTAGTTACTTCACCACACAATCACCAAATGTTTGTTAACTCTATAAGTTCTAATTACTAGTTCAATGTTTTGGAACTTTCCCGCCCAAACTTCACTTATCCGAAACAAAATTTTTATGACCTATTGGGATCTTCGCTAAATCATGATACACATATTCATCTCTAACCATCTTCGTGTTTATAAGTATGTCAATATCTGTAATAACGTTGATTTTAAAATATTAAGGCTATAAGCACTTTAATAAGAATTTAACTGTTATAACTTGTGATCTTGTGCCTAATGGTATATAACCGACCGGACCAAATAACTCACGATTCCGTACGAGTAGTCTAGAATCCTTACCGGTTCTTTTTCCCGTCCGACCCTGCATGTTGAGTCCAGAACACTAATCATGTATTTCAAATATATTGGGTTTATATAGAAAACAAACAGATCACATCACACCATAAAATAGGATATAACATTTGTACAAGATGAAGACAAAAAGTGGCTGTGAACGTGGGAGACGGTAATCAAATAACTGAGTACAACAGTAAATCGTATAATAATAATCTATAGGTCAAAATGAAGCTTATAATAAGATGACTATAAATATACATAATCTAATTACTGAATAGTTATACAACTAAGAATATGTCGATAGTATTAATCCACTAATAGTTCACAGAAGTTACTCATAATTCAATCTTCACTAGGATATAACAAACACTATTGTCATTGAATCAATCATATCCATTTGTGATGACAGTTGGGTTAACACAATGAAGAACGTATACTTGAAACTATTTAGTTTCATCATAAATATTCTCTTCAAATGATTTATATTAGAAAAACAAAAGAATAATGACTTTTATTCATAACATAAGCATTAAGTCAATCTGTTTATATGATAAGTAAAGAAACAATGAATAGTTATATAGTTTGATCATATTCACTAATAGAACAAAGTCTTGTTTAATGTACTTTAATCGAATTGATTTCATTGTTTAATTATGAATGGAATCATTGAAAACAATTGAACTATCCATAGATTGTATAAACCTTCATGTTAACTATTTGAAAATGTTTTATAATTAGCAAAATAATCAAGACAATCATATCAAGTTATTTACTTATTGTCATGGTGGAAATTGTTATTGATCATAGAAAACGTTCTAAAGAAGTGAGTGTTTAGGAAATTTCTTATTAATTTATTTGATATTGTTTATGATTGAGATCATGAACCGATTGATGTTAGACTACCGTTGTAAACCTGTGAGCACTGGACGGCCATTTCGTCCTATTGTGGGACTCTTCAGCAGTGCGCATCCACGATCCCACATGCGGGATTTCAATGGTGTTCCTATAATCATCAATTCATAATCTCAGTCATAAAATGACTTTATGTTAGTCTTGTCTTTTTGTACTATTCATGTTAAATCGATTGTGTTGCAATATGTCTATTGCTGCGAATGGTTCAGCATCATGTTCACTGTGCTGAGATGTTAGAGGTCTGGAGGTAGTTACTATGATATCCTATATTAATGTTTCATCTTCTTTGATGCTTATTAGAAAATCACAAAATTAACACAGGTAGATTCTGTTCCATTTTGAGATCACTTACGATTATTTTAAATTTCGAATAACTAGAAGATATCTCCTGAAACTAGTGAACAGCTCAAAAATTCATCCCAAAACACTTTATCAATAATGATTCCCTCAAGTAGTTGAAAGAAAGAGAGAGAAAAACGAAAAGTATTCAGGAAACATTTGGAATTTCAGTGAGATAATACTATATTTGACAAATCCGTGTACTTTATCATTACTATAATCCTGAGAGTATGTAACAAAAACAGCCAACTAGGAAAGAAAGTAACCTATTGGATTACAATGAAAGATAATGGGATAGTATTATTATAATTAATGACTTTATTCAATATTATATATATAGAATTCTCAGCACAAGGTATTTCAACAAGTTTATTTTACAAAAACAAAACAACAAAAAATAGAGGAAAAAGATGAAAAGGATCTGGAACTATACAACTTTCCAAATTAAAAACATGTTTAAGAATACAGGTTATTAACTAGGTTGACTCTAACAACCTCCTTGTCACAGAGTATATTTGCTAAGTAAGGTATTATAAAACTTTTATGCTTTTGCTTGCGTGCATGAATTTTAATGTTATTACATCTCGTTCTACCAGAAAATATAGAAGGAGAAAGATATGAGTGAAGGGGGTGGTTGGTATCTGATAAGATAACACCTGCCAGGAGTTTGCAAGACTTTAGATGTCTATGCACAACCATATTAATGATGACTTCGAAAGTCTGACCACACAGCCTGCTATCTCCCTTCAGCACTCTTCACAATACAACAGTCTTTTCTCAAAAGCCCGGGAAATAATAATGGAGAACAGTAAACAATAATAGATAATATGCGAGAATTGGTAAAATGTAGGAGTCAGAGGGAAAACTTTCTTCGATAACAATAAAACATGAGAAGACCAAGAGAGATCAGAGGAAAAAGTAACACTAAGATAACAGACCTTTGACACTGTGTTTATCAAAGAGTCTCTCATGGTACAAGCATTATGGGATCCCCAAATTGTGTTTAGATGTCGTTCATGTCTCATTCTCAAGTTAACAGCTTGACATTTAGACGGATTAAGTATGAGTTGGAAACAAGTTTCTGAGGACGTTTTCACCGGTTAGAACTATCATTTACTAATAAAAGTAAAACACCTGAATAAATGAACTCCTTCTCAGAGGTTTTAACCATCAACCATCAGGGGGAGAAAATGGAATATGAAAATAGATCTAATAAGAAAAATTGTCTTCTTAAATATTTCATGTATATGTGCGATAATTATCCATACGTCTTCTTCTAACCTTTCATTAATAGATAAGATCTCATGCTTACAATCACAAAATTGTCCGGTTTAATTCACGATCAGGAAATAATTCATTGAATCAATCTACAATAAATAAAGATCCTCCAGAGGAGAAATCTAATGAATCAACCGTATACAATCAATACTGGTCAACAAATGATTTACTGTCTTTTGAATGTGACAGTAATGATAATGAAAAATGGCACCATTCAAATGAAACTGAATATCATAGAGCTAACCTTGATGATAGATTAGGTGTTAATTTTAATTCTGGAGTATTTGATTGGTCTCAAAGTGAATCTTGGTTAATGTAAGATGTAATGACTAGTAATGTTAGTTGCTTTATTTTATATTACTTATAAGTAGTTAAAAAACTTTAATTACAATTATCCGAATTCACTTATTCTGAAGGGCCTAACTCATCATTGATATTTAGGACTAGATAGAAGCACTCATCTAAGATCCATAATAATCATTTCATTTGGTACAGTATAGCAACTCAGGTGCAGTCGAGTTTGTTCACATTTAATTCGGTTAAGTCATTTTGTTAACTTAATAACGAACTAAGTCATCCGTACAAGAACAACTTATCTATATCATTGTATCTTTATTATTGTTGCGAATGTATGAAGATGTATGCTTGAGCATTGCTTACTGCTTACGCATTTATTCACGCTGCTAGCCTTAATGCTAACCGCTTAGTTGATTCGATGATTCATTCATTTCACTACTTTTATATATGCCTATGTTATTTATGTTCATTGCTCTCTCTCGCTTAATTGTACTCGCTTACTCCTACTCATATTCGCTGACTCACTCACTCGCTCTCTCGCTTTCCTGCTTGCCTTTCGGCACAACTCTCGCATGCTTGTTTGACGTACCTGAAACTTTGAATATCTGTGTGTGGTCCCATAATAAACATAAACAACACTTAGTATTTGCCTTCTGATTATTATACCGTTTGGGCGTTATCTAGTGACGGTTGTCAAGACGAACTGTGTACGGAGTTTAAGGATTATATTGAATACCGACCACCACAACAGATTAGTGGTTACCTAGATAAAACGGATAGATATTAGACTTTAACGTTAGTGTGTACATTTACAATAGGACAAAAGTATAGCCAGTTTTAAAAGTCCCAAACAGAATGAAATACGGCTGCTGGAGTTTTCTGTTAACTAAAATCCAACTATATTAATGAATTGATTTGTTTTAGAGTTCTAACACAGTTATACCAGTCGACATAAAAAATACTATGTAGGTGAGTCTGCTATCATGCAAGGAGTAAACAAAGTTATGCTGTCAAGTTAACCGGGATTACAATGATGATAGAAAGTTAAATAGAAATGTCTACCAAATCGTTTAACACTTGAGAAGGTTTTGAACTTACTTTTATTTGAAGAGAAAAGAAATGTTTTTCACGACAGTGAATGACCATAATCCTCATATGAAATCAAAATATCACAAAGTGTTTATCTTTTCCAGTACAAATTTTATCTGTAATAATAAAGATTGTTCAGTTAGTTTTATTGAAACCTACGAACTACAAGAATTCAACATGTTTATTTGATTTTCATGGCTTCTACTAGGTAGACTCTTGTGTTTAAACATTGGCCAGACAATTTCAAAGTGATTTTCAGTGTTTTCAATTCTAATGATACTGTATATTTAGAATTGAAAATTAGGGAACAAATTGGTTAACCAGTGTAATGCTATTCAGTGATAATTCTATATTTCAGTGTAAAGACTATATATATAATCTATGCTATATCCGGAAGTGAATAAATGAATGGTAACAGTGAGGAATTACTTATGGATTAATATTATACATATATATACATATATTTGAAATATATGATTCGTAACGCGGAGGCTAAGATTGACGTTTTGGACTTGATAAGCAGGGATAGGCGGAAAAAAAGAACAATCAAAACTCTAAGCTGCTCGTACCGGTGTATGGGTTATTAGTTTGATCGTCTAAGTCAGTGTATCTAAAATTGGCAATCGTGTTTCGTGATAGTCGTATAAGCTAAGGACATAACAATCTGTTTATTCAAAGTATCTGTAGTTCGCTTTCAACCTGATTTCATTTATGAACTTAAATGTTTCGATCATAAAAACTAGGTGTTCTCTTAATGAAGTAATTTGATATTTTCATCCTTAAAATACTTCATATGATCTATTTAGTGTATGAATAAGATTGTTAAGTCGTAAACTATGGGGGGGGGAATAATATCCAAGTGACATGTCTATATAAAAAATTAATAGCCAATAAAATCCAATATTGAAAGAGAATAATATTAGGCTATACTCACAAAACTCCTAGATATTGTTGTAAATTATATCGTGAAAACACTACATGACAAACCGTAATGGAATCTTGAATGTTGTATACCAAATGAATATATGTATATGTTCACCGGGTAGTATAGTAGTGTGGTGTGTGCTACTTATATTGACATAAGTAGTGTATGATGTTAGTCGTGAACAGAAGGTCTGACAGCAAAGAGACAAGAGGATCGAACAGTAAAGAATGGAAACAGGATGCAATTTGTATGAAAATGCAAGAACAATGAAATCTGAGTCATTTTGAGACAATTGATGGACATTTTGCAAATTAAACATTTTATTTATGACTGTTAGATTTTATTAACAAGTCCTGTAATTGTGTGCTGAATACATTTGATTATCTCCACTGGTGTTCTGGTTCACTACAGTAGTAGTGGCCAGTTTCATAGTTGTCTAATTCTTTCAATTTTATCGATAAAGTTGAAATATGGTCCCCAGTTTAAATTATTCAACATCTAATATGCTATGTTGAAATGTTAGGTAGTAAGAGATACTTTACATGAAACCTCGTGCCTAGGTTTCTTGTTAGTTGACGTTCGTCATTAATAGTTCAATGGAAGCCTACCAGATCGTTGAGCTGAGGGATACAGATATCAGTTTCCTCAAGATTTTAATTACTTCATGTGGACACTAAAATAATGTAGAGTAATCTTTATTAACAAACCAGTCTACTTACTAAACATAGGTCACTAACATATATCTAACTTATTGTATACACATGGGATCTTTATAGGATTTAGAATGATTCTAATCAACATTATAACATGTTCAATGAAATGTAAACATATACACCACATATTTCTATCTAATTTGAATATTACTTCTCTTTCTTGTTTTAATTTTCTTTAGTGTTCAAAATGCTATAATAAACACCATTCTTTGTAAACCAAATCTAGATATCAGTGAAGCCGTCAAAAATATGAGGTACATTCAATTGTTGTTCATTTATAATTTTGAACAATATACAATAGCTCAACAATGATAGCAAGTCATTATTGTAGAGCTAGTAGTTCATTGCGTTTAGTTCTATTATCATTGAATAGTAACAATAAGGTCTGTTTTCGTTTCTTTACATGACTGCTCTACGAATCATAACTTTATCTTATTTAATATGAAAAACTTATATATACCTTCAAAATGTTTGCAATCTTTGTCAACTGTTTCGTGTTGATTACACGAAAAGAATAAAATAAAAATATGTTTTATTTGATCATATACCAGACTTTTTACAAGTCCCGGGTTCGATCCTTTGATGGTTTGTGGCTGTTTATTGCTAATGAAGATTATACTAGGACAAGACAGTTGTTTAGTAGTCCCTAGTTTCCACAGGGTAACTCAAGTGAAATCAATCACATACACATAACTACTGAAGTAAAATTAAGATTTCAAATCTTATAGCTCATTGAAAACTTCAGTTAATCTATATCGTTAATGTTTGTTACAATCAAGCGAGTGTTAATATTGATCATTCCAAACAACTTTTTATCTGAATGTGAGTTTGTGAAGATTGTAGTAATTTTTAATAGTTGAATTCATGAGTCGATTAAAGCTAGAACACCATGGAAAACCTGGAAACACTGGATAGTCGTATCGTTCTACTATACGACCAGTGGAGATCAGTCATGTCTGTTGTGAGGTAATTACTCACTGAAGACAATGGTAGACAGTAGCGTAATATCGTGGATTGGTTGAAGTTAGACATTACCACCATTGAATGTCGGCTCAGTGGTCTAGAGTTTAAGAGTTCGCGTGCGGGATCGTGTATGCGCACTGATGAGGAGTCCCACACTAGAGCGAATCGAACGTTCGGTGATTTCAGATTTTCCGTGGTGATCTAGCATTAATCGACTCAGGAATTTAACTATTAAATCTTTATCTGTTTTAAATTATATTGATGATTCCATGAAAATTGATGAATATTGATTGTTGTTTTCATTTAGACAACTGGTAAACTCTGGAACTGAAACAGCTACTATTGTTGAATATTGTGATGTAAGTTGAACAAATCATTAATGCCCGTTTGATATGTATACAAACATCATTAGACATGAAGACAAAAATACGCAAGCTGTTTATTACCTTGAATTCATCAACCTTGATTTTCGCAACTGAAATTTTAAAATCTTAGTTCATTTGTAGTATAACTTAGTTTGTCCATAGTGATTAGTAAAGTTTCAGAAGCACTGTTCCCTCATTACATAACCAATTAGAAAATGAAAGGTTATTCGGAAGTCTTAGTTGAGTTCATTGTCCATTCAATATACAGCAGTTAGGATCATTTATTCTTTAAATATGTAATTTTTAATTTAGATGTTACTATGTAAACCAACGACTTCGGTTACTGTATGCGCATTGAAATATAAGTACCACCCATAGTTCTTCAACTAAGAAATGAATGGAGTACTAATCAACTTTGAGATTTACAAGACAGTAAGAATTTGCTTATGATGAAAAAGACTACACTGGCCTTATTAGCTATCTAATGGTTTTTTTTATAAATTATACTCAGATAATCATTTTATGCCATGGCAAGTGTTCAAACTAATATTTATAAGGTTTTGTATTCTTCCATTGTCAATGTTAAATATCCATAAATGATTAGTCTCTGTGTGTACATGTACGTCTTGAAAGAACTGCTGTGATAATGTCATTTAATCACAAGTTTATTGGCTGACTAGGACACGTCAGACAGATTTGTCTGGATATCACTTTTCACACTGAGACTCCAGTTCAATGATTTTAGTTTTAAACGACAACGCATTATTTTCTGAGGTAGTGAGTACTGAATTCTTAGCACTGTATTCAGGTCTCACTGTGAAGATAATCACTGAGATGTATCTATTTGATGTATATCAACTAGAATGAAACGCGCTTTATGTATTCCATTGCTAGCGACCATTATATTTTACTGTAAATATTTATTACTTTAGCTATTGATACTGATGTCGACAAAGATAAGTAGGATGCACCAACAATCGAATGTGAAATGCCTGGAGGTAAAGGGTTAAGAAAATCAAAGAGAAGAGAACGATAATAGAGAGTGACTGTTTGGGAAACGAAGGAACGACAAAGTTTGAGATAATTTATGGATATTTTACAAATGAAGAATTTACTGTATGGTTTTCAGATATTCTGTAATTTTGTATGAAAATGCATTAGGTTGTCCCCACTTGTGTTCTCGTTTACTACAATATAATTAAATAAGTGAATAAAGAAACTAGTAATAGAATGAGGTGAAAAACATGAATGAATAATAATTCCAAGGTACTAATATCATGGAATTATTGTTAGGTCCCGATAAACATAATGAATATTAACTTTGGGATCCTTTTATGGACCAATACTTAACGTATATTTTTATCGTATAATTGTTAAGTAACTAAACTATTCATATTCATATTCCTCTTATTATAAACTTTATTTTGACCTATGAACCACTATTATACGTTTTACCATTCTTGAATTATGCCCTGTCTATTAGTCGCTGTCTCCCACATTCACAGCCACATTTGGCCAAATCTTGTACAAATGTTGTTTTCCATTTTATGCTACTTTGTGGTCTGTTTGATTGGTATATAAACTCAGTATGTTTGAAATATAAGGATTCATATTGCAGAGGCTGAGACTGGTATTCTGGACTTAACTGGCTGGGCTAGGCGGAAAGCAGGACCAATCAGGACTCTAGGCTGCTTGTCCGTGTTTTACGCCTCCTTGGTCCGATCGATTGGCGGCTTTGGGCTATAACAATTATCAGAAGATATAGCATGATCTATGACTATGAAGGTTCATAAAATAAAGCGAACATACAACATTTTATAAACATATTACATCAAAGTAAGATTAAAAAACGATAAATTTTTAAATGATTGGTTCGAATACAAACAAATTATCTAATGAAACTATTCAAACTATCGTTATGTTCTAAGGTCCACTTGATCATGAGTAGACGTGGGAGCACGGACAGGTGATGTATCTACACCCTCCTCGTTCATCAACTAGGTAGTGGTTGGAACTAATTTAGAAGTTCAGAAATTTCAGTCTTATCGAACAATATTCTAAGATGATGATATCTAGCTAAAACCGACTTCTTATCAATCATATATCCAGATGACAAGAAATGGATTATATATTGAATTAGAAGATATTGTATTAAACTAGATTCATAGTTGCTTAGGTAAGTGTTGTGTCGTGAGGGTAGATTAGAGGACAGTGAATTATCGATCGGATCAATGACACGTAAACTACGTACGGACGGCCTACGGTCTCGATTGGTCCCGCTTCCCTGTCTAGCCCAGCCAGTTGAGTCCAGAACGCAAGTCACAGCCTCTGAGATATGAATCATTATATTTCAGACATACTCTATTTATATACCAATCAACCAGACCACATCGTACCATAAAATAGGAAACAACATTTGTACAATATTTCGATAATGATATTAGAAGACGAAGATTATCAGAACTATGTGATATATTAGCGCAATACATTTCGAACAATCTGGTCACACATATACTTGTTAAGAGCATTTATATATAAAAATAAAAGGTCAACTAGATAGGAAACGGGGAAAGAGGAGATAACGATAATGATAAGAGTAATAATAATAATAATGTGAACACAAAGCGAAACCTAATCACTCTGGATAATAAGTCAATATTAGCAGGGTAGGTTTAAGGTAAGAACAAACTGTTTTCGAACACATAAAGGGGGTTTGAATTTTCTTATGGCTAAGGCTTCAATGAACCTTAGTATACGCCCTTTTGCACTTTTATACAGCACTACAAAAGCTGAATTTAGATCAATCTTGTGACCTGTTTCAATTATATGTTTAGCAATAGAGGATGATGGATGTTTATCGTCTGCTCTTATTGGGTCACTTGATTGTATTTGTTTCTGAAGCCATTTGGGTACATGTTCACTCACCCTAATGTTGAGATCACGATTACTCCTCCCTATGTATGTGTGACCACACACACATTTAAATTGGTAAACACAGTGGGATGTGACGCAATCGTTTCCATGTACTTTAGGTTTTGAATGAAGCATGCACCTTGTTCTTTCTTTGTTGATGACCTTTGCTGCGCAATAGGTTTTATTAATGACTGATTTAAGTCGTTGTTTCAATAAAAGGCTATTTGAATCACCTCTGAATGGTAAGGTGATGTAGACAGGCTTTGACAAATGAAATAAATATTGACCAATAGGAAATGTCCATTTAGAGTCCAAGGACACCATTAGACTTAACATGATAATTATTAGTATATTTTTCCGAACATCCTAACAGGAAGTCTTTTATTATGCTAAATTTTTGCACTAAATAATTTATCTTACAATATTGTTTGAATTTCACTAGAAAAAGGTGTTACGTAACACTATGCGTACTCTTCGCAGACCGTTGGAAAAGTTAAATGGTAGGTCAAGTAATCTGTGGTTACACTGAAAATGTTTTGGTTGAAATAGTTATGAAAGTCTGTTAACTTACTTGTTAAGGGGAATATCAAAAAGATATCAAGTTAACACAGGGTACTGTCATGAGTTTTGTGAATTGAAGCTTATTTCTACTTGATTATACATTTTAGATTGTAAAGTGAATACAATATAGGAAAGTAGATATTACTCTGTCAATCGGGTGTTAATTATACGATACACCAAATGATGAGATTGTTTAATGGAATACAAGTAGAAAAGCTTAAATGAAGTCCAACAATCTCCACAAACCGTACAAAAAATTATAATGTGCTTACTAGTAAGCAGCTTCGAGAGGAGATTTTCGGAGTTCGAATGAGAAGCCGTGATAAGTGGAGCTGATCTCTGTCGGTTGTGAGACAGATACCCATCGAAGACGATGTTCGTGCGATGTCGTGGATTATTCGACGTTAAACACCAATACTATTGAATGCTGACTCAAAAGTTTGGAGGTTGGGCGTTTGCGCGAGACTGATGGTTGTGCACTGATTCTCGCATTCAGGATTGTGGGTGGACACTATTGAGGAGTCTAATACTAGGAAGACATGGCCTTTCAGTGCTTCCAGGCTTTCATTAAGAAGTAGTATGCTTCGAATAACATCTACGACCTTATATATCATTTTATCACGTACTTGTATTTTACTTTCCTTAATAATAAATACAATTGTTATTTGACAATTTCAGGCAATGAATTGATCAGTGAACTAATAAGAATTTGGAAATATTATATAAACTATAGTTATCCTATTATTTTATTAATATTCACTACAGTGTCAGTGAGTTGTTCTTTTATTGAAATCAGTAGTATTAATAGATAGCTTATAAAATTTCTTTCATAAATGTATATTTTACTGATAAACCAATCAGTTTTAAAGACGGTGGTTTATAAATATTTAAGCGCGAAATTCAAAAGCACGATAACAAAAATCATATACCTTGTTAAGAACTATTACGGGGAACACTAACCTAATCACATGTGATGGAGAAGCACTGGAAAATGTAGAATCTTTCACGTGTCCGATCAGCATCATCGATGAACAAGGAGAAACCCAAGAAGACTCAAACATGAAGATTGGCAAATCAAGGGCCGCATTCCTACAATTGAAGAATATTTGCTACTCAAAACAACTTCCAACCAACCAATATCAAACTCACAATCTTCAATACAAACGTTAAGACAGTTCTACTGTATGGAGCTGAGACTTGAAGAACAAAAACCATCATCAAAAAGGTGCAAGTATTTATAAATGGCTGTCTACGAAAAATACTCAATATCCGTTGGTCGGATACCATCAGCAACAGCCTATTGTGGGAGTGAACAAACCAGCTTCCAGCTGAAGAGGAAATTAGGAAAAGACGATGGGAATGGATAGGACATACATTACGGAAATCACCAAACTGCATCACGAAGTAAGCACTAATTTGGAATTCTGAAGAGAAGCGGAAAAGAGGAAGGCCAAATAACACATTTTGTCGAGAAATAGAAGCAGCTATGAAAGGATGAATAATAATTGGAAAGAGCTGTGAAGGATTGCCCAGGACAGGGTTAGATGTAAAGAGTGCTGGTGAATGGCGTATGCTCCTCCACGAGGAGTAACAGGCGTAAGTAGGTAAGTGAGTATCAAGAACTAAATAAAAACGAGAAAAGCAACTATCAGTTGATGAAGATGGAGAAAACGAAAGAACGAAAAAAACAACTTGTACTAAAATGCGATTGTAATATTTCAAAACAATTTATAAGTAATTTAAAGCAACTTATGCATGTTGATAAGACTTAGAATGAAGAATGTAGACAATTCTTCTCTACATAAGTGTTTTTATCAATATGACTACAAAGTGTTCTTCTATGATTATTTGAACAATTAACGTTAATCATAAATGTTACTTTAACTGTTACCTCAATATCCAACTTTGATAGTTTTGATTTGCTTATATCCTAACTGACCAAAAATTGGCCTTAATTTTAATAGTCATTTTATGAGTTACTGAAGTTATCTGGTGACATTTAGGTTTTCTACATTTAGTGAGTGGTAATTACAATGTGCTCACTAGTGACTAGCTTTCTAAAAGGAATTCTCGAAGTTCTAGTGAGAAGCCGTGATCAGTGCAGCTAATTCGTGTCGGGTAGAGACAGGTATCTACCTCAGTACAATGGAAGATGGTCGCTCAATTTCATGGATGGGTTGAAGTTGGACATTAACACGATTGGATGCCAGCTCAATGGTTCAGTATATTAAGTGTTCGTGAGCGAAACTGAAGGCCCCGGGTTCGAATCCCGCAAAGAGGGTCGTGTATGCGCACTGCTGAGGAGTCCCACAATAGGACGAAATGGCCTTCCAGTGTTTCCAGGTTTCCAATAGTGGTCTAACATCAATCGGTTCATGATCTTAATCAAAAAATTTAGTGAGTATATGTTACTTGAACATTTTGATTCTATGATTGATTGAACTGCACTTTATGATCTTGGATGATGACAGTTAAAAGTTAATAAACAACTGTTTCACACTATTTTGATACTATATTTTTTCAGTATTATGATTACAAGTTTACCCAATATGAGTGGGTTCTGTTTAGATTACTGAATTTGTAACAAGTTTATCAATGGGCAAATAGATAGATTCTCACTAAACCTATAAGTACTCACTGTTGAAAAGCTCCAAACGACCACAAAACAACTAAAGTAAGAAGTCAATCCATCATAAAAATCACCTTACAACTATAAGATCAACCACTTTAGAAATATGTTATACTCTCTGTTAAAGAACATTTAATGGTAAATGACCAAAATATTCAATTTAAATGAAGCAAATACTAACACAGTTTCACAAATAGATAATCGGTGGTCTAATGGTTAAGCGCTTGCGCGCGAGACTGATAGATCCTGTGTTCGAATCTCGCAGGGGGCAGAATCATGGATGCGCACTGCTTAGCAGTCACATACTAGGATGAAACGGCAGTCTACTGCTCTCAGGTTTTCTATGGTGGTCTAGTTTCAATTGACTCATGATCTCAACCATTAAAATTACTATACAATCCACAAAATCCTTCTAAGATAATCATTTGTTGAGTAATAGAAGAAGAATAGTTTTACATTCACTAGAGAGGGAAAAAGCCTCTTTTCTTCTTTCCTTTCTTTTTTTGAATACTGTCACATTATGTTGGTTCCCTAGATTTGATTTATTTTCACCTCTGAATGATAAAATATTTGCATTGAATTGGATTATTAAATTGTTTGACAACATTTTGTGTACTTTAAGGTTCCACAAAAAACAATTGAATACATGTTAGGAGCTTCCTTTTTAAAGTATATACTTGAGAGGATGAAAATTGAAGGTCAGTTTTATTTATCTATGTTGTAATATGTAGTATTTGATTTTCATAACGGTTACACAAACTTCTAATGATGTTTGTTTAATTCCTTAGAAATATAAACTATTTCTTGGTCAGTTATTTGTATCTATTATTCAGGCTGATTTCTGATTGATCTATTGTATTACTTTTTGTGACATTAATGTTGATTGTTTACATTATAATATTATGTGATTAGTAATGTTGAATTAGTTTTGCCTACAGATGAATTCTCCTCTTATGTCCCTGAACTGTTTCAGAGTTATACTCAAAACACGTAACTAAATATTACGTTACTTAGTTACTTACGCCTTTTACTCCTCGTGGAGGAGCATAGGCCACTCACCATCCAACCCTGTCCTGGAAAATTTTTCACGGCTCTTTCTAGTTGTTATTCATCCTTTCATATCTGCTTCTATTTCCCCACGTAATGTGTTATCTGGCCTTCCTCATTTCCAATTCTCTTCAGTATTCCAAGTTAGTGCTTGCCTCGTGATGCGGTTCGGTGATTTCCGCAATATATTGCCTATCCATTTCCATCGTCTTTTCCTAATTTCCTCTGCAACTGGAATCTGGTCTGTTCTCTCCGATAATAACCTGGTGCTGATGGTATCCGGCCAATGGATGTTGAGTATCTTGCATAGACAACTACTTATAAATACTTGTAACTTCTTGATGGTTGTTGTAGTTTTCCACGTTTCATCTCCGTACAGTAGAACTACATTAACGTTTGTATTGAAGATTGTGAGTTTGATATTGGTTGGTTGGAAGTTGTTTTGAGTTGCATATGTTCTTCAATTGTAGGAATGCGGCCCTTGCTTTGCCAATCCTTGCCTTGACGTCTGCATCTGATCCTCCTTATTCATCGATGCTGCTGATCGGATACATGTGAGATTCTACATTTTCCAGTGCTTCTTCATCACGTGTGATTGGGTTGGTGTTCTCTGTGTTGCATTTGAGTTTCTTCGTTTTTCACTTGTGTATGTTGAGGCCTACTGATGCAGAGGTTTCTGCTAGTGTATCGAATTTCAAAAACATCATATCTAACCCTACAAATTACCTATTGGTATTTCAAAAATCTCAGCAGAATTCACGCAGTGTTAGTCACTTACACTAGTAACTTCATTGTAACTTACTCGATATAACTCAATTGAAGCTAAAATGATAAGATAAACATAACGTTTATCACAACTGCTCAGTGTCCAATTGATTGTAGGTTGTGAAATATGGATTTACTTATAAGATGGACGAGTTTTTAGGAGAATCTACAGTAACTGGAGTTTAACCCTACCAACCATAAGACGAATTTCACTAATAGTAATGAGTCATCCAAAGTCAGCAGTTTTCACAGAAGCTTTTAATGACTTTTATATATAAGTGTAATTTGTAAAGGTAGGAATCTTATATTTGTTAATGTTAGAAGCTTCAATTGATCACTGTTGTTTTGGCGCATGTGGATTGTAAACGGAATGTAGTCACATCACCATTAAGTTACAAGCTAACCACAATTCAACTTTGCTTAAAAGTGCTTTTGACTTAACGTTCAAATGAAGACAATCCCCTCAGGATGCATATGTGCTGAAAAAAGACTGATCAACTGGAGACCTTAGCAACAATAACGGAATGGCTTTTCAGAAATTTCATGCAATTGGTTCCCTTTATGAATTTAAATAGAGCAAGAACAAACATTGATGCAGAATAGTAAGCAGCTGACGAGAAACCTCGAAATAATATGAATTCATACTATTCTGCATCAATGTTTGTTCTTGCTCTATTTAATAACGGAATGATTCAAGTTTTTGCAAATTATTTAAAATTCATCTCGCTTGAACAAAATAATGACAATGTGAACTTATTCGCTCAGTGGAAAACACATTGGACATTCGAATAGAGAGACAATAACTTCAAGTCTTCTTGTGAATATCAACAGCATAATCCAGTTACATTCAACTGGGGAGTCCTAAATAATACAAAACACACATCCTTAATCTCATTGTTGTTTGTATGCAAACTTGGCTGAGAAATATTATCAAGTTGTCTTTTTATACTTTTTTTCTATAAACAGACATTATCAAGAAACAGAATAACAAAATTAATTCGCATGTTCGACACATGTATTACACAATACTAGTAAGTTTTACCAAAGAGATGGGGTTTTGTTCTCTGAGCTGGATAGCGATTCAAATGCCTAAACAGTGAAACTTTTTTCTCCAAGATGAAGAAAAGAAGAAAACGTTATGTAACTCATCGATGAAGTTATATGAAGATAGTGTTTGATTGTAACTTGACTGAAGATTTAAGAAAAATATTTGAAGTATTAAATTTTAATTCAGATGCTTCAACGTATCTTTTTTGTAACAAGTTCTAATGATAATATTGACCAGATGATGTGTGAAGTTTTGAGCGGATACTATTAAGGAGTTTCAAACTTGAATAAAACTATAGCAACTCATGTGCGATTGAGTTTGTTCTCATTTGACTCAGTTAAGCCCTTTCGTTAACTTATTTAGAGGACAAAGTCACCCTTACTAATAACAACTTATTGTACCTTTATTATTGTTAGGTTTGTATGAAATATTATGCTTGAACATTGCTTACCGCCTACGCATATATTCATTCTGCTAGCTTTATTATTAGCTGCTTATTTGATTCAATGATCCATTCATTTCCCTATATATATATATACGTACATTTAACACTCTGCTAACTCTCGGTTCGCTGACTCACTCATTTGCCTCCCAGCTTTGTGGTCTGAGTTATCTGCTAATAAAACTATAGTCGCTGCTTCTCTTTGCCTTCTGATTCCAAACACCGTTGAGGATTATATGGTAACGGTTACGAGGGTGATTGATCGAAGAAGCACAGCCTCTACAAAACAGCTACTCAGTGTTTTCCTTATTTCTTAGTAATTTTACAGTCGAGGTCAAATTATATTCATTATAGTTTTGACATAAACACTTTGAACTGGTTAAAAACAAATTAAGAAAACTAGGATAGTAAACTAGGTCACAAGCATTATAAGCAAATATGGTTGATGGTTAGCACTGGAATCCAAAGCACACGTTTCGCCCTATTTTGGACTCGTCAGCTGGATGTGCCTGTATCTCAGAGTTCATGTTCCCACCCCGACTCGCTTCAAACGTCATCACGTTATCCACTTAGCTACTTAGTCCTGAGAGCCATTATCTTATGAAATGAGGTGAGATTTTAGTTCATTTTGTATTTTTTTGTTTTAATCATCCCACTAATCTTTGGGTCTGCAATTGATCAGTCTCTCTCTCTCTTTCTATATATATATATATATACATATATATATATATATATATATATATATATATATATATATATATATATATATATATATGCATCTACCAGTTCACCTGCTCTTGTGGAGCAAGGTACATTTGCCATAGCCAGCGCTTGCTTTCAACTTGGATAAGGGAACATATCCCAGCTTGGTTCTATAAGGGTGAAAGGAAAGCAGTTAGAAGTTCTATACTTGAACACCTAATCGAATATATATAAACCATTCGGTATTGTGTTCGTAGTAGTTTCATTTTGTGTACCTTTGAATATTTCACTAGACAGATAACATTCATTACGTCATATGAATGATTGATGGCTTATCTTTATTATAATTAGCTTCAAGATTCATGAGAGACTAAACCTTTAATCCGATACGTGAACAATATACACTATACTTTATTATCAGGTTTTTTGATGAAGCACACACATTCTGACTATTCTGAATTATCTGTTGTTTCGTTCGCCTCCCTGTTACTTCATTCATTAGGATGGTCATTTGAAATATGCATCTTTATAAATTCTTGAAAATGACTCGATTCAATACTACATGGTTCATAATGATAGGATCAACCTAGTCATTAAACTTTGAGGCGTAATAAAAATGGGAGCTTTCTGATCTAGATCAATACCTGAAGACTAATTTCTACACATCCTTATTAATTATCATATATATATATATATATATATATATATATATATATATATATATATATATATATATATATCCTTTAATAATTCACTACAGTTGACTTATTCAAATAATCATATTCATATCATATAATATTTTTTATCTTAATGTGGGACTCCTAAACAGTGCGATACACCACCCCCGCGAGGTTCGAACCAAAGACCTACGAGTCTCGCGCGCGAGCGCTTAACGATTAAACCACTGAGCCGGTATCCAACGGTGTTAATGTCTAACATGCCTATCGTGGATGCACACTGCTTAGGAGTCCCATACTAAGACGAAACGACCGTCCAGTGCTTCTACGTTTTCCATGGTGGTCTAGCTTCAATTGACTCATGATCTCAACCATTGAAAATTACTAAAAATCTCCACAAAACCCCTTCAGATAATATTTTTTATTCATAAAAATAAATTATTGAATACAGATTTTTCATCTTTTAGACCTTTTGTCTAGACAAACTTTCAGTTGATAAAATTCAACAATATAATCAATTATTTATGAAGTATATTTTACCTGGAATGTAGTTAATAGAAAATCAATAAAAGTGAACATAATTATCTTTAGTTTGTTTCTAAGTTAATTATGTTACTAATAAAAATCATTTTATTTTATAAAAACCAAAAAATACAAAACAATAACAGTATGAATTTCCAATGGTAATGATGAGAACGTTTTCAAGCTATCACTAATGGATTTTATCACTCTACAAAGATTATTAGACATCCAAAATTATATGAGATATTATTCTATATTCGTTTGATATTGATGTGAACAGAGAAACAAGAAGTCTTGACAAACTACGGAAGCTATTTTTCGGCGGACGTTATTTCATTTAATTCAAAGCTTGTAAAACAGTAACATTTATTTTTATCCCTAGTCTATCCTACAGAACATAAGCTTTCGTTTAATGTATGATTCATTGTCATAGCTCTTTTTGTTCCCAAGCTATTGTAATTTAAACATAGTATTTTGTACCCAATTTTCTATACTAATCCCCAGTTTCGGATATAATTGTATCTTCTTAATTATTGTACGTTGTGGTCAGGTTAGTCATCTATTTATTCATGTATCTTTTTACACTGATCTGAAATCGGGAACCAAATCGGAATTTCATACACATAGTTCCCTTTATTATTTTAAATAGAGCAAGAACAAAGATTGGTGCAGAATAATAAATGGATTCATTTTATTTCGTTAGGTTCTCATCAGCTGCTTACAACCTAAATTATTTGAAAATTCAACATTAATACAGATATTGACATATTGACATACATAAGAGTGTGATGAAGGATTAATACATGTGTATGATGATGTAGCAAAGATTCAGATAGAGTTAATGAGCTCATAAAATGTTTGATTCGAATAAATAAATAAAGAGTTAGAGAGGGAAAGTTCTAGAACATTGAAATAGTGATTAGAACTCATGAAAATAGATTAATGGTAATAAAGAAAATATGAATTGAAATCAATCATTTATGTATGATGTAATTTATATTTCAGAAAGAGTTGCAATAATGACGTAATAAATAAATAAATAGGAGCAAATTAACAGAAAGAGTGGGGGTTATTGTTACCAGGGTAAAGAAAGATTTATTACTGTCTCTTTTTGTATACATAGGTCTGGTTTTAAGCGTTTGATTGCTAACGCTTCAGCGAATTTCAAAAGGTTCGAGTTTGATTGTTTGTTAATCACCTTGAAGGACTTCAGTATATCAGCTTTATGTCCTGTATCAAGAAGATGTCTTGCGATAGCACTGTTGAATGCGTTCAATGCATTTAACCTTAAACTTTTCGGAATATGTTCTTTGAATCGGACGTAGGCTCTCCTTTCTGTTCTACCAATGTAACTGCTTTGGCAGGTACATGTAAATTTGTATACACAGTTGCTGGTAACATGAAAGGGATACCTATCGACCTTTGATTGTGTCAAAGAGCATGTTGTTTTGGACAGGACAATCAATTTCGCTGCAGGATAAGTTCTTGTCAGTGCAGTTTTTAATCTCATATTGATTGATCCTGTGACATCGTCACCTTTGAATTGAAGTTTAATAAAAATAGGCTTTTTATTTGCTGTAATTTCTTTCGGTTTTTTATCTTCACATTTGCCGTATTTCTCAATAAATTTCAGTGGGTATCCGTTATTCTTTAAACATTTTTTTTAACATTCATAACTTCCTCTTCTAGTGTATCGGAAGTACATATTCTTTCTGTTCTGTGAAACAGTGTTTTGACCAGTGCCTTTTTGTAACCGATTGGACAAAAGCTATTGAAATTAAGATAACTACCACTTCATGTGTCTTTCTTATAAACTGAACGTTGAACTGTACCATCTTTTCTTCTTTTCATCGCGATATCGAGAAAATGGAACTTGTTTTCTTTTTCATGTTCCATAGTGAAATGGATATTCGGATGTGCTTCGTTGAAAAACTCTAGCAGATTTATTGCATGTTGTTTATTATTACATACGACGAAGGTATCATCAACATATCTCGAATAACACGTCATTTCATCAATCGCTCGTTTGAGTTTGGTTCTTTCGAGGTTAGCCATGAAAATATCTGCTAGGACAGGACCTAACGGACTTCCCATCGCTACACCATCGGTTGTGAATAAATCGAGTAGTGTTCCAGTTGACTTGTCTTCTCTTACTCGCGTGCTTGTCAGGTGATAGAATAGTTTTCTCCTCTCTACCCCACTTCAAACTCACGAATACTAGCCTCAAGGTTAAGCTGGTCAGCCTATCGCGTCAAGGTCTTAATCTAGATTAGACAGGTTATCCTCAGCACCAAAAGTGGGTAGAGAGATATGGATTTAACCTCTTAGGTATTCTATTTTAAACTATCTACTAAAATGAGGGTGAGGATTAGAAACGTTTATTCATTGGTCTTTAGAAAGCATTTTCAAGGCAAATTGGAAACTATTTTTGGTGAATTATACAAACATAAGTACATTTCATAAAAACTGTTGAAAGTTGAAACTTAAGTGTACATAAGATAAATAAGAATTCTTTGGCCACATAACAGATGGGTGTGTAGTGATAAATGACTCCTTAAAATAAACGGTTTTGTCGAACCTATTTAGTTATGATTGACCGTAATGGATAAAGATACCTGATCAATTACCTTCATCATATGACGTCTTGACTTATGGCGAGACTTTTCTAACACTTTAACTAGCTATTGATAAAATTCCACGTTGCGGTATCGTTACCTATAATCAAATATATTCGTCTCGTCAACTATCCACTCTTTATTCTTCGTTTGGATTTGGGTAACTTCGTTGAAGATATTTGAAACAACTTGTCTAACTCAGAAGAATTACGGTTGGATTCATTTGAATAATGCACCCGAGGTCTGTTCAAGTCACAAGACTGTCTTGATTATTCGGAAATATTTGTATATTAGCATGTATTAATAATATATATGGTTCTATGATAAATCATAAGTAGTTGGATTTAAGCGTACATTCAAGGTGATAATACAACAGCAACAACAACCGTCAAACGTAAAAATAATGAGTTCAAAATGGCTGTCCATGTAAAATTGTTTTAACCAGTGAGAGTGTATTCAGCTTGTTGATAATCAAGTTAACCAATGCGAGTCCAAAAAACAGGATAACCCTGATTACTAACAAGTAACATAGCCAGAAATTAAGGATTTCACAACCAGTGCTACCAGACTATATCTTAATCAGTGTATCCTTAGTTCAGAAGTATTGTTCCCACGTGAAGGCTTGGATCTAGGATGTAATCTGAAACTTGGAAATTGAAATGGAAGTTGATATAATATGCAATCCACCTATCCCTGCACGGATGATTTCAGACTGCATACGTTTTTAAGCTAGATCTTTAATAGCAATCGATGTCTTACTTTCAATCTTTTTCTACAACTTTCACTTAGCACTCCGAGAACTTGGAATGATTGAAAGCCTAAAACTTATAACTTATTTAAAAAAGTACAGATAAGCTGAAGTTAATCATTAATAAACACATTGTGCGAAAAATGCTTTCAAAACTACGCACCGTTTTACATGAAATCAGGACACCGATAGATCAAATCAATAAAAACGGACGTTCTTTAGACCTGGAATGATAGCTACTGTAAGTCATACAAATCAAGCTTGTTTGTTATTGGTAGAATACTATTAAAGTTTGATAAAACTGTGTATTACACAACATACATAAGACATGAGTATAAACTCAATAAACTTAATGTATTGAAAGTCACAATTGTCTCCAAAGAAGACATGTAGTGACCAGAACTTCGATGGGGACATCTTAATAAAATCTAACAATCATAAAATAAATGCTTAATTTGCAAAATGTCCACCAATTGTCTTAAAATGACTCAGACTTCATTGTTCTTGCATTTTCATACAAATTGTATCTTGTTTCCATTCTTTACTGTTCGATCTACTTGTCTCTCTTCTGTCAGACCTGTTCATGACTAACATCATATACTACATATGTCAATATAAGTAGCACACAGCAGAGATATAACTATTAAGAAGATAAAAATGGCTTAATAATCATATGTTATCTCAGTTGGTCAGGTCTATTTAGAATCACATGAGAGCTATAAAGTAGATGATATATCACTTTTGTGATATTTAATATCAACTCATTAGGATTGGTTGTTTCGGATAAAAAAAGCTTTGCTCTTCGGCTTATACCATCTGAAATTTTATTCAAACAGTGTTGTGAATTTCTTTAAGTTAAACACACCATTGATGAATCTTCTATCCGAATGCTAGATTCGGTCCCATAAGCTCTCTAGTAATCCCCAGGGCAATCTACGTGGCTAGTTGAACGCAGTGTAGTGTCGGTGATGATGTTAAGCCCATATACCTTATTCTAGCTTTCGGACAGCCCATTTTCTATTCATTTCACTTGGGTCACATTCTGACCTTGTTAAGCATTCGCTTATCAGTCTTCACTGTTTTTATATGAGCGCGTCGGTGTGTGCACACTTCTTATCACATTACTCATCGCATGTCTGTAACTTATTTTTGTGTAACTATAAATATTGATTAACGTTTGGTTAAATAAGAGTTGGCTTACCCGCCATCTCCACTCTGCGTCGTTTCTCTTCTTTCTATTCCATTCACTCTATATACAAAATATATATGTATTCAAAAGTCTATTCTCGTTATTTGACTTATTTAATTCCGTTATATTGACTAACGCGATTTAAGTCGATGATTATATACAAGGATAGGCGATAACAAACATTCATTACGATCTAATTGGAGTCAGACCAACGAGACACTAAAATGGAGAGCCCTTTCGACAACATTATTCGATCTAAATGACGACAAAATAAAAGGGCCCCACAGCAGGAAATATGAAATATTCTGTACTCGATCGTTGGATGGATCATTAATGCTGAAAGTTATTATATATATGAAGTGGAACTGTTATGACGGGTGTGACTGCAGGTTTTGATAAGCAGCGTTTATTGATCGATTCGGTGACAGTGACACGTAAACACGAACGGACGGCCTAGAGTCTCTATTGGTCTCGCTTCCCTGTCTAGCCCAGTCAGTTGAGTCCAGAACACAAGCCACAGCCTCGGAGATATGAATCATTATATTTCAGACATACTTTGTTTATATACCAATCAAGCACACCACATTGTACCATAAAATGGAAAACAACATTTTGCACAATATTCAACAAGTGAACAGATATCGACCAATAGAAAATGTCCATTTAAAGTCCAAGGACACCATTGGACTTAACATGATAATTATTGGTCTATTCCTCCGCATCCACAACAGGAACATATATCTGGTATCCAATAGTTTTCAATGGTACTCTAACTACAATCCATCGATGACAACTAAACTCACACAAGACCTTCATCGAACCCTTCATCATCATCATCATCATCATCATCATCTAAACACAACTATTTTTATGTATTGAATATATTTTTATTATTTAAATATGGATTATATATAATATGTTGATGTGATTCAACAAATAAAGGAAGATATTCTAAAAATGTAACAAAATCAATGGTACCATTGTTTTTATTATCTAAATATGTAATTAATTGTTGTACATGGACTTGTGATAGATTAGCAGCATGAAAGAAGACCATTAAATCTTTCATTTCAATATGTCCAAATGGTTTATGATAAGAATCCATTGAAGATAGATCCCTATTAATTATGGTTGTATCATTGGTTACTCTATCACTGTTTAGTTTGATAATTGGTTGAAAAATATAACATAGTTGAAAATATTGTTTTCTGTCTGATCCACCGATTAATATGAATAATTCCTATGGAAATGTAAAAAAATAATAAATGAATGTATTTTTATCAGAAGGGATTTTATGGAGAGTTCAGTAATTTCATTGATTGAGATCATGAGTCAATTGAAGCTAGACCACCATGAGAAACATGGAAGCATTGGACAGCCGTTCTGTTTTAGTATGGGACTCCTAAGCAGTGCGCATCCCCGATCCCGCCCCCCCGCGAGATTCGAACCCAGGACCTATCAGTCTCACGCCAGGCGCCTAACCAACTAGACCACTGAGCTGGCTGGCATCCAACGGTGCTAATTTTTTTAACTTCGACTAATCCAAAACATTGCGCCATCGTACTTCATTGTCTTCAGTGAGCTGATATTTCACAACAGACCTGGTTGAACTCCACTGGTCACGGTTTCTATTGACTCATGATTTCAACTATTGGAATGTATTTTTGTTACTACTGATATGTTGTAAGTAATATGTGTAGTTCTAAAAATAGAACGGTTCGAATAATGTTAAATAATTTTAGTTTAATATATCTTGACCTATTTCATAGAGGATGTTAGAATTTTATCGAATAAAAAATCCATGACTGTCAATGAAGTAAATAAAGTAACAATATGATATACTATATTCCACGTTCAGTGATTGCATATAGATAGTGAAAGTCAATATTCCCTTTGTCTCTCAGAGGACAAGGTTGATTATTTCTCATATATCAAGATGAAAAAGCATTCCAAGTTATTAGATGTTCTGTTCGTTATCTTAGATGCATAGTTAAATAGTCCGGCTTTTTGAGTTTTCCTATACAATAACGTTTATTCATTGAGTGAAAAAACTAATTGTCCGAACCAACAAATGGATTATCCTACCAAATATAGAAATATGTACGAGAATTTTCAGCCAGTTTACCGGAATCATTGTGAGTTAGTGTAGTTCACAAGGTAGGGAAAATCAGACAAACATTTTAATTCAGTCCTAAAGGCAATAATCAAAGAAAACCAGCTGAACATCACAATCAGGAAAAACAGTACGCCTGAAATGCTGGCTTCAATTTTGTCCTTATTTGAATGCAAAGCGAATAGCTGTTGAATATGACAAAATATCACAATATAAACAAGTAAGGATGCGAACTCAATTAAGAAAAACTTGGAATCTTAGATGTAAATAAGGTAAAGAATATTGAAATTTTTCTTAGAATTCGGTTTGATTAGCGGTAAATATGTGCATTTTTAACAAAAACTCAATCTGTCAGTCCGAAGGAATAATGTTCAACAACCAGTCGGCCAGAAAATAGCACAAACAAAATGAATGTTAAAACAATGGAGTCACTATAACTGGAAACAAAATAATCAGATTTTATGTCGACAGATCAAACTGTCAGTCATTGATTGATAAATTTTATTATGTCATTTCTTGTTAAACTTTATAATACTGATGTTTATGTTGCTTAGATGGATAATAAAAGCTCAGTCATTAAACCTTCCATATCTAATGGCAGAAGGTTAAGAACACTAAAGAAAAGAGAACGAGACGACTGTCTGACTGATATCTGCAAAAGAAACAGTCCAACTTGAGACAGTTGACTAATACTTTGCAAATGATGAGTTTACTGTATGATTCTCAGATTGGACAAAGGTATTCTGTAATTTTATATCCAAAATACATTCAATTGTTCCCACTTGTGTTTTATTATCATTTAGGCAGATTAATTAATAACTCATATTACATATACGCTTTAATCAATAACACTCACTTTTACAATTTAAAGTATCTTATAAATCCAATCTCCCTATTTGGGGGGGGCATTTTGGGATTATCCCCAAAGTTCCTCAAAACTGTTGAGATTTCTTCAGATCAATGGAAATTTCGGGATTTTTGTTCCATTTCCCCAAAAATTTTTTATAGCGGCTTACCCAAAATAAAGAGATTGGGAATATATAAGAATGTTTGTGATATATAAATAGGATACATTTTTTTATCATTTAGAACGACACTTACTCTTGCTTTCCTTATTTTCAAACACAATGACTGTGTACCAATTTTATGCACATTATTGCGAAGAATGGATCTAGAATAAAATTTTTAAGAACAAAAAACACGAAACTTGAATGTTCAGAGGTAATGAAATGAGAGCTTTGTTAAATGTAACATTAGTGCTAACTAAAATGGATACAAATAAATGAATTCACTTGGTGTTGGTTTTCTTGAATCTTCCCATTGTGGTTTAAGACTGCAATTGATCAGTCTGGTATTGGCATATGTGCATACTGTGCTTATCGCTTCGATATTGCCTTAATTCACAAGCTTTCTGTAAGCAATGATGGATAGTGGCTAGCAGTGGAATCCAGTTTGATGCGTGTTTCGTCCTACTTGGATGATGTTTGATTTGTTTGATGTTTATTTGAGCGCTGAGATTTATGAAAATCAAACGAAGTTTATAATTTATGTTTATTCCACTTCTGAAATCCTGCAATTGGGGATGGTCGAAATTTGTGCTGATTCCTACTGATAATACCTATGAAGAAGACTATAATCGCTGTACTACCAAGTAACGTAACTAGTAAGATTCAACATGAAAAAGGGTCAAACAAAGCCAATATGTAGTTGTTACTTATCACACTTGATCGATAGTGGTTGTAGGGTCAATGACACTAAAAATTTTCTAATGTTCTACCTCATACATTTCACATTATCCCAAATGGGTTTGATATTGTCTCTCACATAAATCAGAAGCTACGGTAATCTGAGTCACTGACACTAGTACTTTTCTTGACAGGAGAAAATTAATCGACGATTTTACTGCATGTTCATAAGCTTAATTTTCCTTTTCCTTATCTCTTTCATATCTCCCATTGACTGCTCATATATTTAAACTGGTAATTTATACATTAAGTATTTATTAGTGTTAATGATTATTGTTTTGCCAAGTTTCGACCTACTTATTAATACATCTGGTACTTGAGTGGCTAAACAGCTACTTTCTAACTGCTTTCTAGTTCTTAGATGACTTGTTACCTGGAAGCCCGAACATAAATTCGAAAGGTGAGAATTTTATAAGTTTTCATTTGAAGGTTAGTTCGTGTGCAGAAAGAAAGGTTACTTATAAGGCTATGTGGATATAAGATTCAAGAAAGTTCTGGAAAACATGCATTTGTTCAATAAAGATAATGAAAACGTTTACAGTTGTTTTCTAAATGTTATTTCAAGTTTCTAAACTGACTAGTCATATGGATTTTCTTAAGTATTGAAGACATTTTAAGGCAGTTATCGAAAGCTCCCAATACTTACTGTACTGAAATATTTATTTATGTCATTCATATCATACTTATCACTATTACTGGAACACTAAGAAAACTGAACTTTAAGAACAAGCCAGTGGTAAGTGCGAAAACTACATCAAGATTACGGTACACATCCTTTCATCTAAGGATGATGAAAAAGAAAATCGTCCTCAAAAATTATAGCTCATTAACTGAATTATGAACAAGCTAACACAGAAAAATCACTTAATCTAATCGATGGATAACCTTGAGTGGTGTTGTTTTCTCTTGAATTTTCAACCACTTATGTGGTTAGATATAAGGACATCAATTATAATTTAAGAATGTTCTACAGTCACCTTATTTGTATTTTTTTACTTATGCATTTCACTTCATTGTTATTATCGATTCATAAATTAGAATATGGGATCATGGAGATTGTAGTAATTTTTAATAGTTGTGTTTATGAGTCGATTTAAGCCGAACCACAACTGAAAGTCTGGAAATATTGGACGGTCAATTTGTCCTTGTATGGGACTCTCCAGAAGTGCATATCTACGGTCCCGTATACGGAACTCGAATGTACGACCTTCCATCTCACTCACGAACATTTGACCTTTAAATCACTGAGCCAGGATCCAACTATGTTAATGACTAACTTCAATCGATCCATGATCTTCACAACCATTTATCAATTGTCTGAGGTAGATACCTATCTCTACCCGACATAGATTGGACTTCACTAGTTACGGCTTCCAGATTTTTAATGGTGGTTTAGCTTAAATCGACTCATAAATTGTCATGATTAGTTTATGTACTCTACAAAAGTATTAGCATATGCTAATGTGAAGCCTAATGAAGATGTACTTGAAATCAATATTGTTTATCTGTTTATGCAGCTTATTCTAATTCCTATTATGCTCAATGATATACAATAAGATGTAGAAATGAATGTTAAACTCAATAATATTATGTGCATTTCAATAACTTAATGTTTATAAGGAACAATCAACCTAGAAAATAAGAGAAAAAAATCGCATAATGTAACCCAACTAATTACCAGCTAATCAGTATTATCTCAACTAACTTGTGGTTTACTACTACTCACAACAAATTGATTTGTGCATGGAATAAATTGAGTTTCTGTAAATAAATCTTCAACTATATTTGATACTTTGTGGGAAAAAAATCATGTACAGATATGACGAAGAGTCTCATACTAGGACAAAGCGGTCGTCCAGTGATTCCAGGTTTTCCATGGTGGTCTAGCTTTAATTGACTCATGAATTCAACTATTGAAATTAATACAATCTCCACAAAACCCACTTTCTGATAATATGCAGATATGTTTTATTTAACGACTAGAAAAGTAGGTCAAATATATGTATGCAATTAAGTATCTCTACAATCACACTTATATCAGTTGTTCATTAAAGCCCCCAAATGCCCTGGTACGGCTGAGAGTGGGGAGAGTCCGCTCTCCCTCTCGAAATGCTCTCACATGGCCACACGTATATAGCCTCTGCCAGGGAAGTCCTACTCACTGCCTTCTCGTGGCACCGGTGTTGTTTACGAAATTGAAAGGACGAAAAGTGAATGTCCGGGGCTTTAACTGGGTTGGTGGACATGGAGAGTTCACCTAGGGGAGTTGGAAAACCCTGATTCCAAAACAATGGTGCCAATGGGCTCCAGTATCCTGAAGGAACAAACGGCGTATGAACCAAGCGTTAGTAACCGGCTACCATGAGACCGCATCTCCTTACGTTGTTCCACTGCCCTGTGGATCAGACCTTTAAGTCGAAGACTTCGGGTGTGGCCCCCTAAGAAAACCACCTGCTTCGGTTTGGGCACCCGGGCAGTATCACAGCCCTCACACATATCAAATGAGATCTGTGTGGCGCATATGTATTTGGTGCTTTCTTGTACCAATATCTATCTTAAAATAAATAAATAAATAAAAAGTTTCATTAAATACCTTGAAACAATCAGAAGCCTATAGAAATGTACCAAAGTTAGGATTGTTAATTATTGGATTATAGCTCATTGGTTGTGGAGCCTAATGGTTATGGGCTCAACTTTTAGAGTATAATATGTAAACATTGCTAATTAGTTCCATGTAAGAATGAAATATCTATCTAAGGTTCTCAATCTTTATGTAGTTCTTTAACCAATGTAGATTTCTTTTTTGATGAGAGCTAGATATAACCACATTAACTTAATTACAATTGGTCTGTCAAATTTTTAATGAGACAAGACTTTTTGGAAATCTTCTAAATAAAATAGAAGATAATGAACAACAAGATGTTTGAAATTCACTTTAGTACCGGCTACATCAGTATCCAAGGTAAAGTGAACGGCTGAACAAGTATCCTAAGAATACAGATATCTAGTATGTTAAAATGGATACCGGTGACTTCAACCCCATGTAGAGAAGTTTACATAAACCGTATGGAACATTTGGTAGGATTCATTTGATCACTTAAGATGATTCATCTGTGTCTAAATAATGTCGGGCATCGATCAAATGATGATGTATGAAACAATCGACTTTAATTGGTCTTTGACAAGTTAAACACAGATGATTTGACACATTATCGCTTAGTTTGTACTGACTTCATATTTTATTATTAGATATCAGTGTAATTTCATGATGAGAAACGAACTGAAAAGAAATTTCCTTCTTCAATTTATTTACTTTTTTCTAAGTGTCGAAATAAGAAGTTCAAATTCCAAATTCCAAATACAGGAACAAAAAACAAACCAATGGGAGACACAACGAGAAAAAGAAGTAGAAAATGACAAATTTAAGGTCAGTAAGAGCCAATTAACGTCGAGGTGTACAGAACAAGCTGTAAAACGCATATAGAGAAATTCGAACACTTCACTTCTACCTGAAGTTTGTGCTGCGGATGATGTCGTTCAGAAGAACGATGAAAGCTCCACGAGCAAACCACCCAGCTCAGCGAACAAAACTCCATCAGAAGTTCAAATGTACTAAATATAACTCTCTTTGATCAAGGTGAGGAACACATTCATTCTCTAGTCATTCTCAATCAAATTAATTCTGAATTAAGTAGAGAAATTCGAATACTTCACTTCTACTTGAAGTTTGTGTTGATGTTGTTATTCAGAAGAATCATGAAAGATCCATAATATAACGATCCAGCTCAGCGAACTAAACTTCACCTGAACTACAAATCTTTACCATCTCATTAAGGCAAGTAATAATATTTTCCGCCTACTGCCTTTATCACAAACTATAGTTTCTTAAACAATTGAAGGAGCTTTGTGCCAATTGATTTAATTTTAGATTAGATTTGTCAAAACTTAATTTCAGATGAATAATCACATACCATCGTAGTATGAGATTACTCAGTATTGCCCACTTATGATACTCTAATCAAAACTGGTTGAACTTGGAATATTTTCATGGAACACTGGTCTTAGGTTTGATCTATGATAAGGTCGTAAATATACAACCTACAAATGAAAAGGATTTCACTAAACATAATGGTTAATAATAAAACTTACTCTAAACCGTCAAATCTTTCAGCTAAAGCAGCCAATACAATAAATAAATTGATATCTAAATACCAACCGGTAAATATTTCTAAAATCTGAAAAGGATATCAATAAACATTTTTAAAATGATCAAAAAGATGCACAATTCAAATGGATTTACATATTGTAAGTTGAACATTTTTGGTTCAAACCATTTAAGTTCAAACAGTGAAATCATTGAACTTAAAGAGTGAATAAGATCAGAAGAGAAGATGTTTCAGTAAATGGAAAATTTTTGGTTCGTTACACAAATTATTATTTCTTTTATTGATTTGAACTATTCGTTTATCAAACTGTGGTAGTATTTGTAAGCAATGATGGATAGTGGCTAGTAGTGGAATTCAGGACGCGCGTTTCGTCCCCGAATAGGACGAGACGCGCGTCAAACTGGATTCCACTGCTAGCCACTATCCATCATTGCTTATAAAAGCTTGTGAATTAAGGCAATATCGAGGTATACGCACAGTATGCACATATGCCAATAACAGACTGATCAATTGCAGTCTTAAACCTCAATGGGAAGATACAAGCCAAACAATACCAAGTGTGGTAGTATTTGGTAAAAGTAAATCTAGATACATTTATAATAGGCACTTTTCAACAAACACTTTCATAATTGGTTGTAACATTCAAGAATGCATATGATCCATCTAATTAAGGATATAAATTTTCTCAGAGGGTGTTTTGATATTGTCTTAAGTTTAAAGTTTCTAGACATTTGGAATATGGTATCAATATGTGAATTTCAGTGTAATTATCAACTCTAGAAAACATGTGTATCTAACTGGTGAATTTCAAATAGAAAGAAACAAACGTTCTGGATCATTCTACTAAATATGTAAAATCATTCTTGTAGAATGAAGACGGTTTCAGTCATGAACTAGGCTAAACTTCTGAGTCATTTATTATTCAAGTTTAAGACTTCTCAACCGTGTATATTTGAAAACTAACATATAAAAGAACATCGAACATTTAACCTTCTCAAAGATCATGATAATTCTAAACACTCAATGAATGAAAGTCATTAGTATACACTCTTGAGAAGTCTATAAAAGAATAACTACTTACTGATCTGTGATGAATTCAATAGTTCTCTAGTTGATATGTCAACATGCAATGAAAATTAAGTTCCTATCGTAATACAGTTATAGTTTCTTGATCTAAACTTATAACCTTTGATCTTCATATTAAAAGTATAAGGTTCTATCATTTATTCCGGTCATAATTGTAGATAATACAGTGGATGTGTTTCCATTTCTCTAATGATTCACAAGCAGAAACTACTCAACAAATAACTGTTGTGAGATAGTAACTCACTGAAGACAATTGTGGATGTTTCGCTGAATCTCGTAGTTGGTTGAAGTTAGACATTAACACCTTTGGACACCGGCTCAGTGGCCTAGAGGTAAAGTGCTCGCGCGCGAGACTGATTGATCCTGTGTTCGAATCTCGAGGGGGGTGGGATCGTGGATGCGCACTGCTGAGGAGTCCCACAATAGGACAAAACGGCTGTCCAGTGCTCCTAGGTTTCCCATGGTGGTCTAGTTTCAATTGACTCATCATCTTAACTATTAAAATTTCTATAATATTCACAAAACTCTTTGTGATACAAATAACTCGTAGTTTATGTTTATGTCTAACCGATAGATGATTTACATCAGACGTCTTCAATATAAGTAGTGTTCTGATATAAAATAACCCGCTAAAATTCAATGATAAACAAAAAAAGAATCAAATAGAAACATAGACTTACATCTCTTATTTTGACATTTCCACTATCAATTTTTAATCTTTTATCAATATTTTTCATAGCATTCTCAAAGTCATTTACGTCAAGTTCAATTCTCTAATAGTGCAAGAAAATGTGCATTTTTAATGAGAGATTCAAGCATACTTTTTTTAGTTTAAGAACGAAAAATCAAAGTTAATCACAATTGATTGATCACTAGGTCGTGATCAATGTCATGTGTGTTAAGTTCTTCTTAGTGCAAATCGAATATTATCGACCAAGTTGCATTGTGGCCATTAGTCTAGGTAACTCGACATTACGTGCACTATGTTGAGATTAGATGGTGATTGGAGGTAGTCAACAGGAAACGCTAGACAAGGGTTTCGTGCTATTTGGCACTCGTCAGCAAGGTGGACCTGTAATCTTGAGGGAATTGGTGCTCCCTGACGGATTCGATCCTGTGTCAACCAGCTTCACAATCGGAGACGTTACCACTGGGTTAATTAACTTGAACTGAAACTAGAATTTACATGAAGGTTGAAGTTATCTGAAGTGAATTTAATTTTCAGATACATTGTGGTGTATGCTGCTGATGTTGACAGATATGAGTAGTATATAACATAAATGAAAGTGAAATGCCTAGTGGCAGAAGGTTAAGAAGATCAAAAAAAGAGAACGTGAACAGAGAATGATTGTTGTGGAAACAAAAGAACAATGAAGTCTGAGACGATTGATCGACATTTTGCAAATGAGGAGTTTACTGTATGATTCTCAGAGTTTACTAAGATACTCCGTAGTTTTGTATCCAAATACCTTAGGTTGCGTTGGAGAATGTTTGTCGGCTGCCTATGCTCCATTGGGAGTAACAGGTGTAAGTAAGTAAGTATTTACATTAGATTGTCCCCACTTGTGTTCTCGTTCACTGTAACAGTACCATACTGATCACTTTTCCGTTCGTTTGATAGACATGTTCATATTGGAGTATAGATTTTATTTTAACTCCTAACTTTCCTTAAAATTGTGTTCTCATCCAGAATCTTATGCTTTTGCTATACTTGGCATATGGTAACATACAGCTATGGTTAATTACAAATGTGAATTGGTGATTTAATGTTTTAAAACAAGAACGTTAATTGTTTGAACATCGCTATATGAACTTCAACATGAACAGCTGAATTGTATTTACCATTAATTCTTATACGAATGAAGTATAGTTGATAGGTGAGTGTTAAATTAATGAAATAATTAAAGATTATTAGAACAAATTACCTTCAATATATCAGGTATATCATATTTCCATAAGTTATGATGCATTTTATTAGCTTTATTTAAACGAATACATTCTGAATGTAGTTCTATTTTATGTTTTTCTTCTTTAAGCTTCTTCCATTGTTTGAAAGTAGTTTGAGCTAAACATTGGCTTACATTCATTTGATTGTAAAGATTCTCCAAATGAGAAGTTTTAATAATCTAAATTGAATTGAAAATAATCAAAAGTTTGTTTCGCAGATGAAATAGACAAAAATGATTATGAAACAGTATATGACTACTCACTTGGTATTGTTTGGCTTGTCTCTTCTCATTGAGGTTTAGGACTGGAATTGATCTGTCTGTTATCGGCATATGTGCATACTGTGCGTATGCCTCGATATTGCCTTAATTCACAAGCTTTTATAAGCAATGATGGATAGTGGCTAGCAGTGGAATCCAGTTTGACGCGCGTTTCGTCCTGTTTGGGACTCGTCAGCTGGATGTACCCACATCTCAGAGTTGATGTTTACTCTGGGACTCGAACCCAGTACCATTGGCTTCAAACGCCATCGCATTATCCACTCAGCTACTGAATCCTGATAGCCACTTGCTTGTGCAATGGGGTGGATTGAAATTCACTTGGTATTGTTTTGTTTGTATCTTCCCATTAAGGTACTGGGTTCGAATCCCAGAGTGAACATCAACTCTGAGATGTGGGTACATCCAGCTGACGAGTCCCAAATAGGGCGAAACGTGCGTCCTGCATTCCACCGCTAGCCACTATCCATCTTTGAGCATATGACTATCACTATACAAATTGGAATACACACCGTTCAGCCATCAAGGATTTTAACAACTCTTACATGAATCAATGAATGATTTCAATGTCAATGATGACCGTTTTATTTCATTGAAGAGTGAAACCATCAATGTGAAAAACGGATTCTTCGTATCCCTTAAATATAATTAGTTGATTTGAACTAACGGCATTTGTATAAACATTCTACATTTCAGTCATTGATTCACTTGGTATTATTTGTTTGTAACTGGGAGGCAGTTACATCCAGCAGACGAGCTACAAATAGGACGAAACGCGCGTCCTGGATTCCACTGTTAGCCACTATCCGTCTTTGCTTATAAAGTCAGTCATTGAGTTTCAAATTTTAGTTCATATTGCTACTTGTTCTAAATAATCTCATTGGAAAATTTAGAGTCCTATTAAATCAATCAGCGCAAAGTATTTGATCATATTTCTGTTATATTTTCAGATTGGCTAGAAATGTATCTAGTTAGTGATAGTTCTTTGCTAAATAATAGTTCTCTGTATAATTACGGACCATATGTTTTCCTCTGACATTCCTATAAATCACTGAGACTTAAAATACTCCGAATGGGTAGACAGTTCTCATGTTAGTTATTTATTTGTGCGTTATCTCAGTGAATATACATCCTTAGAATCGTAGCCATCCATTCAGGAATTTCACTGGGTTGTATTTCGGTTGTATAAATGAGATATTATTAGCTCACACATATTCAAAAGCTAAACACTCTAGATTCAGTTTCCTGAGCTCTCTAGTAACCTCAGGCTAAATCTACACAGCAACTTAAACACGGGAGAAAATGCGCGAAATATGGAAGAAACACTTTACTCCAAATTCGGTTTATGTACAGAAAATCTAGGGTATTTCTAGTATTTTAGATGGCTTTGGGCTTCTGTAACGCTCCTATACATAGTAGCTTTATAAGTAATCATTCAATCAGAAATGTGACATGTGACTTGTCACTTTCTTGGTGATTCCGGCAAAACTACTATTGAATTGTGATTGAATAAGGGGTTTCTCAACGTTTTCAGAGAGCCTATTTGCTAATTTCGAAGAACTTTTTGGACCTCCCTAACACAAACATGAGAGAGCGTTATTGAATATAAACCTATCATTATATTCCATGACAGAGTCAGCTAAAAATAATAATTATAATTATGTGTACCAATATTCGTCAAGATTAGAACGAATAATTTGACAGAAATCGGGTGTCGAGTATCGAGAAGTATATTTGAAATAATCTCAGCGACTGAAATTTAAGCTGGATGAAACATTGGAATTATTTAAATTTCAATCGCTGAGATTATTTCAAATATAATTATGGTTTCTTTCAACGTTAGATGCAGGCTCAGTGGTCTAAAGTTTAAGCACTCGCGCGCGAGAGTGATAAGTCCTGGGTTTGGATCTCGCGAGGCAGGATCGTGGATACGCACTGCTGAGGTGTTCTGTACTGGGACGCAAAAGCTGTTCAGTGCATTCAAGTTTTCCATGGTGGTCTACCTTCAATTGACTCATGAATTCAACTATTATATTTACTTTCAATTGTTAAATATCAAAAGATAGGAAGTTCCATTGTAATTTTTGAAGTTTTCAACTTACTTGAAAATATCGTTTACGTCCGATGATTGTTTTCAATGAATTTGTGAACTGCTTTGCTATATCCGACTAGAAATGGTTAAGAAAACGAAATAGTAGATGTGTTAATTATGCAAATTTACACCACCCAATGACAAATATTTTTTTAATAATTTTACAAATTCTCTGTAATAATAAATAAATGTAAGAACCAAATGACGGATGGTAGACTAGGGGTTATCAGTAACATCTTCAGTATTCACTATGTCGTAACCAATAGTTTTGGTCATTTATCTGGTGACTGGTGTATACTGCATTGAGATTTTCATTACCGAATTCATTTCAAACTGTTGAAGTTATTTATCACTGTCTTCTACTAATGTGTACAGTGTAGCTCAGTTCAAGAAATCGGATGAAACAGAGAAAAATTACGGAGAAAGTCAGAACTTGAAATCTTTAATAAAAAAACACTTTAAATCCAGTACTCACTCACTAAACGAAAGTAAAAATAGTCGAACATGCCAAGTACAATGCACTTTATGGGGATGAAAATGTTGAGGATAACATTAGATTATATTGCCCTAACATTTAAAATACGTCCGTCTCTGAGTTCATAGCTAAACTAGTGGTGTACGTGAACATCCATTTTAAACATACCTATACTTTACTTGGTCATACAAGCCAAATCACCATCAGGTTTCACAAATTCGTATTAAAACGGATTTAATTATCGTCTTGTCCTATGAATGGCAGCAGTTGGGAAGTCGTATTGTAGTGAGCAAGAACACCAGTGGTGACAAATGAATGTATTTGACACGAAATTACAGAGTATATCAATAAAATCTGAGAACCACGTAGTAAATCGTTAATATCAACCCATCGTCTCAAACTTCACTGCTCCTTTTGCAAATATCAGTCCATTGTCTCAGATTTCATTGTTCATGCCTTTTCATACCAGTTGCGTTCCGTTTTCTTTTTTTCCTTATCGATCTTCTGCTGAAATACATTCTCTGCCTGACCACCGTTATATACTACCTGTATGGATATAAGTAACCCACATCACAGTACCACATTCAGTTACAGTACCTACTGGTAGTTAAGGCTCCTTTACCAATATATAAACAGTTTGCTCTCCCGTATCGCAATAATTATAAGGAGGTTGAAAACAAGTATTTATTACCAAGAATATTTTAATTATACATGCTGATCATAAATTTAGAACCGGGATAATTCCATATTAATTTCCTAATACTACTCTTTCGCTTGTTTCATATACCTGGGTATCTACTTGTAGACATCGGTGATTCATTGATACTAAACATGAACGCTCATTAAACAAAACCCCCCATGTTATTTACAGTCATTTGAACCGCTTTGTAGCCTTATATGTTTATATATACATAATCATATGAGTTGAGTCAAAGGCAAATAATCCTTTCTACCAGTCGTTTACACTTTACATTGTTATGATTGGAGGACTGAGGGTAATTAAGACAGAATAAAACACAAGATTATGTTTTAATTCAGTGTGATATTTCTTCAGTATAACTTGCAGTATTCACTTGATTTACTTCGAGTATAGATTCAATGTTTATATTACCTCTATTATTTGTTATGTATGATATGAACTGACTTATTGTCAGAGAACAGTAAAATCTTCATAAAAAAATAAGTGTGCTTTAATTAGTAAGACATTGTAGTACCCTATTAAACTTCACCTTCTACCTTAAGTGATGAAATTCTCAGGGTTTTTTTTACTGTTTTAATTATCCTTTTACTGGGGTTATATCAAGGACATGTGTTTTTGAGTAAGGACCTTCGAATATATTTTTGTTAGTGACATCGTGGTGAAAACATAACAAGAATGCATGATTTAATAATTGAATTCATGAATCAATTGAAGCTAGACCACTATGGAAAACCTAGAAGCGCTGGACAGCCGTTTCGTCTTAGTGTGGGACTCCTCAGCAGTGAGAATCCACGATCCCGCACTCGCGACTAGAGTCCAGAACCTTCGGTCTTGCGCGCGAACGTCTAACGGTGCTGATGTCTAACTTCAACCAATCCACAAAATTGCGCTACCATCCATCATTGTCTTCAGTGAGTTATTATCTCACAACAGACATGATTGAAACCCACTAGTCACGGCTTCTCACTAGAACTCCAGGAAATACTTCTTGAAGCCAGTCACTAGTGAGTATATAATGATTATAGTCAGAGAGGTTTTGTGGAGATTGTAGAAATTTAATAATTGAATTCATGAGTCAGCTGAAGCTAGATCGCCAAGGAAAATATTGCATGAACTTACAGATAATGTATTTTCTTTTGAAATATCTCTAAACTCCTTCACTGGAAGATTTTTACACTTTTTCATAATTTCAATGTCAAGTTTTTCTGTAAAACAAGATAAATTTCTGAAAGTAGGCTAAAAACATTGTGTATCAATTCATTAAAAGGCGTGCTTGGTTCTGAGGTACCGATATTTTGTTAGTTAATGCACCGGATCTATATTTCTTGAACTAGGGTTTCGAAGAATGATGTCGATGGGTTCTTTTTCTGCAACTAGTTTCTTTATAGCTCTTATGGTGAAATTTAGTGCAACAATGTTCTTTATATGGACAGGACCTCTTATAATGCCAACTTCCACATGAACAGCATGAAGATGAGGGCTGATTTTTTCTGCGAGATAATTTTCTTCAGCCGGAATCTTTCTTTTCACTTACAATATGAACGTAAGGTGACCGGCTATTCATTCCAACAATAGAGGCGTCATGTTTCAAATTTACCAATCTCTGGCACTCCGTGGTTACTTCCTTAAGCGTTATGTTCGGGCATTGTCCAACTTTACTCAAAATTCTGGTTCTAATATCAGCATCTTCAGGAGATTGGGGACTGCATACAAACACAAGAAACTTAGGCTGATCTTCTGCCATTGCTGATAGCTTAAGCCATTCACATTCACGATTTACTAAACCTGCATGATTCACCCAGTCATCATCATCGGCCTTTGTTATTTTGAGGTACTCATAGTGGATATTAAAAAAAGATGACTGTTCAGAAAAGATTTGCAATAAGATATCAATTGTTGCATCAAAAGAAAAATCCCATGACTTTTTTGGTAGGATGAAATTACTGTAACGTTCCTATTCAACCGTGCCAAGTTTTCTGAGTATTCTGATTTTGGCGGCGTCATCAAGATTCATGAGGTCTACCATGAACAAATCTTCGTGTTTCTTGAATCAGGATTCAAAAGTAATATCAACCAAGCCATCAAAATTAGATTCATGGATAGACTTAATGACGGAATTGGTATGCTAATTACATGAATCATCAGTAAGCCTTTTGTGACTAATATTCATTTGTTGCGTTAGCATCTCCAGTATATGCACTTGAAACTGTTCAGACTGTTTTTCCTGACGTTCAAGCATAGATTCTACTTGTTTAAAGGTAACTGGCAGTGTTACTGGTACACCTCTTCGCCAGTGTTATGTTCAGTACTTGATTAACGCAGAATACGGTATACAACTACTGCAGTCGAACGAATAGAATCCCCACAGTCACAAATCAGAAGAAAACTGGAGAAGTGTTTGTTGGTTAAGAATCATGGGTATTTATAGATATTAGCGTTTATTATTTCAACATTATAATTCAGCCAATCCGCAAAAAGGCATGTTATGTCATTGTCCATATGGTAGCTTGCCATGTTGATATTCTAGAAAGCTCTGATTGTATAGAAACTCTTCGGCTCCTTTAGGGCCTTTAAAAAGCATTAAAAAATCTAAAAGCAGACGGTGTTATAATTTTACAGGCCAAAAATTATCCTGAAAAATATTTGGTTCGATTTTTAGTTCCTTTATTGATCAAATAGAAACATGTAAAAACATCGTGAAATTTGTAAATTATATAGAAACGTTTTAATTTATATGTATATTTATCAATGGTCCTATGATACATTTTAATAACACCTAATACTATGGGAAATGGTTCTGAATGAACAATTTATACACTATATTTAGAAGTGTCAGTATGGGGTTGTAGAGATTATGAAGTTATTGATTGAAATCATGAACCGACTCATGTTAGACCACCATTGAAAACCTGTAGGCGCTGGACAGTTGTCTCGTCCTAGTAAGGAACTGCTCAGCAGTGCGCATCCACGATCTCGTTTATGAGATTCTAAACCATAGCTTTCGGTCTCGCGCGCGAACCCTCTTTTGAAAATAAATCTTTATTTGAAGTCAAAGTGTTTCCTGTCTCTCCCAATATCACATCAAATATATTTTTGAATAGTTTATATTTTCCTAGAACAGAAAAATCTGTATTGCAACCAGTTCATCAAAAACTCAATCACTTCAAGTAATAAAGTTAATTCATTGTCATTAGACAATATTTAGAGCATGTCACTTATATCTTTCTCTCAAGTATAAAGAAAAATTAGAATGATTTGAACTTTAACTTACTTTTATGGTTCTGATAAGCATTCATTTGTAAGGTAAGAGTATCTTTCATTGATTTCATCATATAATCAAGTTTTTCACATTTTAATTCAAGACGTTTTAAACCCTAAATGAACAATATGTATAATCAAGGATTATATATTATATATATATCAATCGGTAAACTATCGAAACTCAAGAGACACTGGACAACGAGACCTGCTTGAATATCTGGGCTACTTGTTCTTGTCACCTGGATATTTCAATAAGTTATCTTTCCGCTTGTTTCTTTTTAACATACATTATTATGTCTATTAAACTCATAACCTATTCAGGTGAGTTTTTGAAAGGTTCTCGACATTTCACTGTACATGTTACAATATTTATCGTCAGGATCGATCAAGAAATAAGAAAAGGAAACTTGTTGAAATAATTTGTGCTGAGAATTCTACAGTGTACCAAAAGATATAATGTTGAATAAAGGGATTATTAATAATGAGTAATAAATAATTATGACTAATGGTATAAATGTTTACTGAAATCGGATATCTATATATATAACATTAATTCATGACTTACTTACTGACTTACGCCTGTTACTCCCAATGGAGTATAAGCCGCCGACAAGCATTCTCCAACCCACTCTGTCCTCGGTCTTCTTTTCTAGTTCCATCCAATTCTTGTTCATTTTTCTCATGTCTATTTCCATTTCCCGGAGTAATGTGTTCTTTGGTCTTCCTCTCCTCCTTTAGCCTTGAGGATTTCATGTGAGGGGTTGTCTTGCGACGTAGTTGGGTGCTTTCCTCAATGTGTGTCCTATCCACTTCCAGTTCTTCTTCCTCATTTCTTCCTCCTCTGGGATCTGATTTGTTCTCTTCAACAGTAGGTTGTTGCTAATAGTGTCCGGCCAACGGATCCGAATTATTTTGCGTAGACAACTGTTATTAAACACCTGTATCTTCTGGATGATAGTTCTAGTAGTTCTCCAGGTTTCCGCCCCATACAGTAGAACTGTTTCACCATTTGTATTGAAAATTCTGACTTTGGTGTTGGTTAACAGACAGTTGTTTTGAGTTCTAGATGTTTTTCAGTTGTAAATATACTGCTCTTGCTTTATCGATCCGCATATTCATAGATCTAATTTCATGTAAATCTATGGTTTCTAATATCGTTGTGAAATCTAGGAGAAAATTGTAATTTGTTGCCAGCTAATTTTTATTTGTCTTTCATCTCATGTACGTTTATTCTAAAAGTAATCTTGAAGTGAATATCAGCCTAAAACATACTACCCAGTTAGGTTATATATATTATTTACTGATGAATTTTAAGTTGACCAAAAAACAATTAGTTTCATAGAATTAAAATGAAACTCGATTATATTGAGTCATAAGCAAGTCAATGTACTGAATGATGTCATGTTTAAAGTTTGTCGAGAAAGAGATATAACAGTTCAAATAGTCAGCAACATGTGAATATTTATTGTTCGTTTAACAATTATCATGTTTCAAAACAACGTAAGCAGGAATATATGACCTAAAAGTCTTAGAACATGAAAAGGTAAAACGTGAAATCGAAACAGTTAGTCTATATCTTCTTAAACAGTTCTATTCAAAAATCGATGATTTTCTGAATTGATGCCTTGTCTTGCTTTCATCGCCTTTAGTTCTTTTTCAGTCTAATTCAATATCAACAAATATGAAGTTCTAGATACTCAGTAAGTTTCCTAGCTATTTACCTTGTCAAAGATTTATGACTTTATGAATCGATTTATCATCATTATCTTGCATGATACACCTAGCCTCACTATTATTAACTTATTGGTCCTAACATATGTAAACATCGCTTTTAAGAAATTTATAATTCCATATTACTGAACTACAAATGTCCTTTACTTTTTTATAAAAGTATATCATAGTCGTATATTAGAACACCACGTTTCATAATGACAAAATAAAATAGAACAAACTAATGTTCATTACACTTATCCATTGGTTGGCAACAGATGAACATATACTTGCAAAAATCAACCAAGATTTCGTTAGGCATCAATTTATCAAAGCTGATATAACTTCCAAGACAAGTAGTGAATTCAGGTACACATGTATATATCACAATTGATTGATCACTGGATGGTGATCAATGTCATGTGTATCAAGTCCAGTCGCGGACCGGATAGCTCAGTGGTAACGTCTCTGACTGTGAAACTGGGTGATACGGGATCGAATCCGTTAGGCAGCATCAGTTCCCTCAAGACTACAGGTACACCTTGCTGACGAGTGCTAAGTAGCACAAAACCCATCTAATCTCAACATATATATAGACTTACTTCAACACATTTCTGTGTATATCTATCCAATGATATTTCATTAAATATCAGTTCTGATTGTTTAGATTTCTTTAATGAATCAATTTTCCATGTTTCATTATTATGATCATTATTATTGATTTTATTTGTTGGATATAAAATTAATTTTGATTCATTGAAATTATTATATTGATTGATCATATTTTGTTTTTTATAGAATAAACGTTTACGGATATTATTAAGTAATAAATATCGTTCCCAAATAGTTTCTAAGGTCAAATGACTATTATTGATTAATTGATGATGATCACTATTATCATTATTATTATTGGCATTAGTATTATTAGACTTGGATTGAAATTGTCCAATTAGTGTATCCACATTAGAGGAATCCTTATTATTACTAGTATTATCATTAGTAGTATCTAATAATTCATAGTTTGATTGAGATGATAATTTATTGGAATAATTTTCTTGTCCAATTAAATAAGCTGCCATGAATATATTTTCATAATCTGGAATTTGTTGATCACTATGAGAAAAAGAAAAGAAGAAGAGAAGGAAAAGAAGAAGAAGAAGAAAAAGAAGAAGAAGAAGAAAGAATTAAACAGTGACATTTTTATCAGAAAGGGGCTTTTGTAGATATTGTAGAAAATTTTAATAGATGAATTCATGAGTTGATTAAAGCTAGACCAACATGAAAAACCTGAAAGCATTGGATGGCCGTTTCGTCCTAGTATGGGACTCCTCAGCAGTGCGCATCCACGATCCTTCCCCCTTGTGAGATTAGAATCCAGGACCTATCAATTTCCACGAAACCCCTTCTGACAATAATCATCTGCTCACTAATAACTGATGTCAGGAGGCAATTCCTGGAGTTCTAGTGAGAAGAAGTGACCAGTGGAGTTCAACCAAGTCTTTTGTGAGATATCAACTCACTGTAGACAATGGTGTATGGTGGCACAATTTCGTGGATTGGTTAGACATTAACACCGTTGGATGCCGACCAGCTCACTGGTCTAGTGGTTAAGTGCTCGCGCGCGAGACTGATAGTTCCTGCATTGGAATTTCTCAAGGGGGGCGGGATCATGGATGTGCACTGCTGAGGAGTCCCATGCTAGGACGAAATGGCCATCCAGTGCTTCCAGGTTTTCCATAGTGGTCTATCTTGAATTGACTCATGATCTCAACTAGTGACATTTTTATTTCCTTTTCTTTTTTCTCTTTTTTTAAATGTGGTTGTTTTCAGAACGAAAATATAAACAATATATTTATACTTTATCTTATTCACAGATAATAAAGAGAAGGCAACGGATCAACAAGAAGTTCAATAATCGAACACTTTGTAAACACAGATCACTCGATCAAGACAGACTATGCGTTCGAAGTCATCTACAAGGTAAGTAGAAATCTTCTAAGGACAATTCGACTGCATTTTCTTTGGATTGCTAAAGCATTAGCCATACATCTGGAAAAACCAGAATTGTGTGTACAGAAGAGACTGGTACAACCTCTTCTTCTACCATGGTCTTAATGTCTTACAATTTGTTTCTTTATTCATACTCTTCTTCCTTTACAGCCATCTACTTCACCTTCCATCTTCCCCTTAAAGCTTCTACCCCAAACTGGTTTATTTCTGTTTCTACGAACATCTTTGCGGAATGTGATCGTAGATGCTTACTGCTGAGGAGTTCTATACTAGAACGAAGCGGCCATCCAGTGCTTCTAGGTTCTCTATAATGGTCTAGCTTCAATTGACTCATGAATTTAACTATTAAACATAATATTACTACTATATAGAATTTGTGGTGATTGTAGAATTCTTACAATTTTAAATTACGAACTTATCTTGACTAGATTACCATATACAGTGAACTTACTCAATAATACGATATTTATCAATATGGATCATTGGATTCCATGTAGAGTGTTCTGTATTGGTATATGAATTGTTATTTGTCATTTGTCTAAATAGATACATTAAGCATAAAGCAATAGTTACTCATATTATTGTCTAAAATAACAATCAGATTATTACAACTAAACTATTTAACTGAGAGTATTACATAATTCCAAAAGTGCAGATAACTGAAATGTAACTCATGTTCATCAATCATTATGACAACAATTATTTATTAATTTCAATAGTTGAGATCATGATTCAATTGAAGCTAGACCTCAATAGAAAACCTGGAAGCACTTGCGCTTGCGCACAAGACTGATAGGTCCTGGGTTCGAATCTCGCGAGGCAGGATCGTGGATGCACACTGCCGAGGGGTCCCACAATGGGAAGAAACGTCTTTCTAGCACTTCCAGGTTTTCCATGGTGGTCTAGCTTCCATTGACTCATGATCTCAACTATTGAAATCACTATAATATCCACAAAACCCTATCTGAAATTATTTATTAATAGAGTATGAGAATTACTTACAGAAAAAGAACTGAAATAGACTGAACACTTAAAAAAATAATTCAATTTCATTTTAAAACTATATAGCAGAGGTTTCTCTACAATCTGAGCTCAGATAAGACTAATAGAACTTTCGGAATGAATGAAATATCACTTCTAGTTGTAGTGACTTAGTTTAGAATGAAATAGTTACGTCAATTTCTACTTGGTTATTTAGCTAATCATAATCTCTAATGTAATACAATAATGCACCATGTTACGAATTCAACACCTGGTTATACTTAACAGTGATTAATAATACAATCCAAATGCAAGTTTTCATTGATTAAAATACTTTTAGATATTTTATCAAACAAGACCAGTTTAATATTGTATTGAATTAGATTAGACAACCACAAAAGAGAAGCCCGAATAAGCAGACCTCAGTCTAACAATTGAATACATATCAATGGTTAAGATCATGAGTCATTTGAAGCTAGACCACTATGGGAAACCTGGAAGCACTGGATGGCCTTTTCGTTATGTTGTGGGAATCGTCGACCTCGCCCCATGCGAGACTCGAATCCAGGACCTGCCGGTTTCGCGTGCGAGCTTTTAACCATTAAACCACTGAGCTGGCCGGCATCCAACGGTGTTAATGTTTAACTTCAACCAATCCATGGAAATGCGCCAACATACATCATTGTCTTGAGTGAGTTCATATCTCACAACAGACCTGGTTGAACTCCACTGGTCACTTCTTCTCACTAGAGCTCCAGGAAATGCCTCTTGACGTCAGTCACTAGTGAGCATATGTTAATTAATATTAGATTGGTTTTTTTAGATATTATAGTAATTTCAATGATTAAGATCATGAGTCAATTGAAGCTAGATCACCATGGAAAACCTGGAAGCACTGGACGGCCGTTTCGTCCTATTGTGGGACTATAATATCCACAAAACCCATCTGTTATTAATTGAATATATGTCGAGAAAATATAAAGTCTTAATCAAAAGTTTCCATTGGATTTTCATACTCCTTAAAACTTATATCATTTGAGATTCATAATGAGATCTACGATGAAAATAAGTTGGATCTGTTTGTCGAATTGAGATTTAGGTTATACCATGGTAATAAAAATATTCTTACCTGATAAAATATCTCATTATTAGTAGAACTTACTGTAATGTCTGATTGATTATTTCCACGGTAGCCGTTGAAATTATAATATTTATATACAGGCATATATATATATGTCTGTTGCTAGGACAACACAAAAAGAGGGATTATATATAAAATTGACTCAAACGATTCTGCTCCCTTCATGAATTATTCTTTATGGTAAGACGTAAAAGGGAAGGAATTTATTATTATACTGAATGCTTATAATTCATTTCATGTCTATATGTGTATGTATGTATGTATGTATGCACGTGTATTTGAGCAGCCAGAAATTCTCTTATTTCAAATGAAAAGTAAATGAACAAAGATCTCGAATGACGACGAAATTCATTTACAGCATAAAATTGTAATTGATAAGATAATGTTGTTTTACTACTAATATAAACAATCATAAGTATTCAAAATAAATGGGACGGAAATAGTTAGTTATACTTTACATCACAAACTGATCTTAATCAGGTAACCACTGAGAAACAGAAAATATTGAACAGTAATCTTGTTGTAGTATGGGATTAATCAACAGTGATAGAATCTACAACTTCATTGGGAATTGAATCCATGTCTTGTAAACTTCTTAGAGGTTTACGTGTGTAGTTGTGGCTGCTTAGTCAGGTCATCGTATATCGGTAAGTAGTCCCATCCTAAAACGAAACAGCTGTTCAGAGCTTTCTGGATTTCAACGGTTTAGTAAACTATGCAAGTAAACTATAAAATTCAACAATATCTGAAACCTCTCACAGTAAGTGAGCTTCATAGAACTCATAATACTTAACTTCATTAAGGTGTACTGATACTAATGCATGAGTAATTTTTCAACTGGAAGAGACATTAACCTCTTATATTAAGAATCACAGTAAGGAAGATTGAATTATGCAACGTTTTAACATGCTTCTTTGAATACATTTATATTCTGGGCTTGATACTATGAAAAATGTTTATTGAGGAGTTGATGAAGGATACGGTTACAAAGTAGAATGATTCACGTTATGTTACTATGATTATCTATCTTTGAAAGTTTAAACAGTGTTGACTGCAACTGTAAATGGTTGGAATGTTTTATCTAATAACTTTAGTCATTTGATATTAGATGTTGGATCAGATCAATCTTTGATAACCCTAACCATGTATAAAAAAAAGCAATGCAACTTCCATTCTGTCTGCCACAGTATTATGACAAATATCTGTTAATGAGAACCGAAGAAGTTATCAACGTCCCAGATATTAATTACTGTCACTCCTTTCCATAACTTTTTTATTATTTACAAATATCTCAATATAATAAGAAAATATGAGTTCACATTCAGTTATGAAGTACATTTGTAGTATGCACTTGTTAAATATTCATCATAAACTACCTAATTGTTCATGTTTTATTGCCAGGAAGTACACTAGACAGTACTCGATTAAACTAATAATATACGATCATTTATTTTACTTGAAAGTCTCTATATGAAATCTAGTAGAAACGTCATTTACTTTCTCTGAGAACCAAGGGTTATCTCATCAATAGACTTATACACTACTTCAATTCATAAACTGGTACCACTTCGATTTGAAAATCATTTCCACTGAGAAAAATGTATAAAGGAATTCTGACTTCGTTGATTAATCATATTATGCTCACTATTGATCGATAAGGTCATAAGTTCAATCCAATGAGGTTTCATAAATGCATAATACCTAGGAGTATCAAATGTGATTAATCACCTCCCCCCCCCTCCAAAATACACATAGCCAGACTACATATCTTCTAGAAACTGTTGTGATTTTATGCTTATACAATGCAATAATGATCGATAGCCCAAACAATAAGCTAACTGTACAGATAAAAACACCAAGAAGTTTAGAAAAGTACATTTCACTATCCTGTATTATAAACATCCATTCGGTTATGTGTATATAGAATAAATGACTATTATGTGTATTATTAATAATAAATCGAATACATTTGTGGTATAAATCTGACATAAGCTGTTTATAATTGATTAATACTAATAAATGGAAGGAAAATAACGTTGAGTAGATTGAATAAAGGGTTATAATTACAACAATGTCAAAATGGACAAACCAGATTTTCCATTTATGTATACACCTATATGCTTAGTGATTCTTCTGGTAACATAAGGTTCATTAACATTATAACAATAAGCATATCGTGTTGTTTGCACGACAGGGGAGGACAATTGGAATAGCCTGAGCCATTTGAATCCCATCTGAATATATATGACGATTTACTATTGTGTAGTAGCTTCCAAATCCTCATATACAATAGAACCCAACTAAGCATTAAGTAAATATAACAGAATCCACTCTAGATTGATGAAATACCCAGTCTCATTCAATTTTATTGATTGTTTTCTAAATTTTAACTTATTATAATCGCTTATTGAAACATGCACTCACTTCAATAGTTATTACTGGATTATCATTGAATTTGATAAGAATTAAAGAAAATTTTAACAAATTCTCTTAGATGAATATTCATTCAAAAATTAACCTTTACTATTCCTGTAGTGTCTGTCGATATAAGTAGTATGTAATACAAGTCAAATGTGGAATACATGGCAGTAAACAGTTGAAAAGATTGGAATTGAAGAGAATAGAAATATAGGGTAAGAGTAATTGTAATAACTACGGGAATGAAAAAAAAATACAATGAAGTTTGTAAGAGACAATTGATGGAAGATGTACAAATGAAGTATTTAATGTAGGATTTTAGTATTTTACAAAGATATTCTGTAATTTTGTATTATTATGTAATAAATTGGTCTTCTCCACTTGACTTCTTTGTTCATTACATTCTAACATCGATTGAGTGACGGTATAGTTACTCTTTGAAAGATTTATAATTTTAATTTTCTTAAAGAGCCGCTAAACTAGTTTGAGAAAGTATTCAATATCTACTGAATTGAGCTTATGTCAAAATGTGGTAAAAATTTATTTTCTAGAGACAAAAAATAACTTCCTTTTTAATCAAAATAAGATAGTGGCTAAAAGTAGAATTCAGGACATATTTTTAATTCAAGTATTATTATTTTTTTTTATTATTTAAACACATAAATATTGGTACAAGGAGATATGCGCCACACAGATCTCATTTGATATGTGTGAGGGCTGTGATACTGCCTGGGTGCCCAAACCGAAGCAGGTGGCTTTCTTAGCGGACCACACCCCGAGCCTTTGACCTAAAGGTCTGACCCATACGACAGTGGAGCATCGTAAGGAGATGCAGTCCCATAGTAGCTGGTGACCAACAATTGGTTCATACTCCATTTGTTCCCTCAGTATACTGGAACCCATGTGCACCATTGGTTTGGAATCCGGTTAAAGCGCCGGACATTCGCTTTTCATCCTCTCAATTTCGTAAACAACACCGATGCCACGAGTAGGC